AATGGATCAACATTTTTTTAAACGGATTGCAGCATCGTATTCAGCGTAAAGGTTTTGTTTGAAACGGTGGGTCACAACCCTATCTTTACATTTGAAAAAATAACTTTGTTTCCAAAATGGTGGATCCAAGATGGCGGCCAAAAATGTAAACCCAGTCAAAATGAAGTTCTTGCTACTCTACAATGATCTGACATGGTTCAAAGTTGATATCTTAAGAAATGTATAAAAAAGTAGGGGGGAACTCTTTTAAAACTCTCCCTGTATAAAACAATTCACAATTATTTTCCTCATAATTTTTTATAGTTTTGATCAGCCGCCATTTTGAAATGACTTGATGAAACTTGACCATTTTCAACCCAAGCCGAGATAATGTATTCAAGCACTTGTGTGCCAAATTTCATGAAAATCGGTTCAGGCATTCGGTCGTTATAGCCAATTCATGGGGACCCAGCATCCTCTTACGGCCACCATTTTGATGACGTCATTACGGACGACCGAGGTCCTTAAAAATTGGGGTCTGGGCGGTTTTAGGTTCAGAAACTTGTATACTATAACCACCTAAAATTGCAGCCTGTCTGCCAGAACTGAAATATTCTGCCACTATATGCAGCTATACGACCCCACTATTAGCTTTTCAACCATTTGAGATATTTGAAATCGGTTTGCAGCAACCTTCTTAGATATGAAGGATTACAATAATGATCGTTAATTTTGAAAATTTTGGCCTTAGGGGTAGTGGGTAGCTCAAAATGTTCAAATAGGAAGTATGGCCGAGATTGGTATCATTTTACAGGTCTTGACAAAACTAAACAATTAACATTATAGAAAATAGAAATCGGACCACTAATAAAAAAATAACAGTTAAAAATTACTGTACTCTTAATAACCATTGTCTTAGTAATGTTCAGCTTCCATTTTGTTAGTGGTCCGATTTCCATTGTCTTAATGTTAATTGTTTAGTTTTGTCAAGACCTGTAAAATGATACCAAACTCAACCATACTTCCTATTTGAACATTTTTAGCTACCGGTACCCGTGCCCCACTGAAGGGAAAAACTGTCAAAATTGACCATCATTATTATTGTAACCCTTCATATCTAAAAAGTTTGCCGCAAACTGATTTCAAACAACTCAAATATAGATATGGGGGATGCAAGTTAATTTTCAGCCACCCTCGTGGTTATTTTGATTTGATATGTTTAAGGGCGCCATTTTGTTATTACTGGTCCGATTTTTGTTTTCTTAATGTCAATTGTTTAGTTTTGTCAGGACCTGTAATATGATGCCAAACTCGACTGTACTTGCCATTTGAAAACTTTAAACTACTAAGCCCTAAGGGCAAAATTTACAAAATTAATCATCATTTATTGCAGCCCCCTCATATCTAAGAAGGCTGCCACAAACCGATTTCAAATATCTGAAAAGGTTCAAAAGTTAAGGGGGAGGGGGGTGCAAATATACAAAATTCTTTTTTATGCTCTTCAAAATGGTTTGGAAAGAAATTATAATTTTTTTTGTTTTTGGGGTCAAAAATAGGAAAAATAAATTTTTAACCCATAAACCCCTGTTTCCTTAGTCCCATTATGCTGGTTCGTGAACTCTTTCGGGAAAATGTTGGTTTACTAGTTTGTAACAAATTTCTTCAAATTCATAAATAAATGTATATATGAATTTGAATGGAGGGTGTTTTTGGGCTCTGGGCACCTCAAAATTAAAAAGTAAATCGGTCCCGGGTCTAGGCCTTATCATGAGACCTACAGTAATGGCTTATTCCCTATATGAGAAATTCGCTAAAACTGTTCTAGTTTCCTTCTTAATGGAAATTTTTGCAATTGATGTACTATGGGCCAGAGAGAATTTCATCTCTAATCACCTGCCTTGTGGGGGAATTTTCTCATCCTTGTGCCCTCAACAAACCTAAAAGCTCTTGCATCTCTGGGCCCAGGCCTATTTATTATGCATAGTATTAGGGATGATACTAAATTTCATCCTTCAAACAACCCCTATGTATTTTTCCATTCACCCACCCAATTATAAAAACAATTGAGCTCTCAACCAATAGGAAAACTAACTACAATAGTTCGGCAGCTTAGAAAACGACCTGCGCGCTAATGCTAAACCAATGCTGGAGGAGGTCGCTTTATAAGCAGCCGAACTATACAAGGATGATCTTTTCCACTGGTCACTGAAACCAGGGGCCCAAAAATACAAGGTCAAAATGTGGGGGCTGGGGATTCATAAAATTAAACATTGTTTTGTGAATTTTAATTTCAGTAAAACCATAGAGATAGAAGATAGAAGATAGTTCAATGGTCAATGTATACAAAAATGGACAGCATAAATATAGCCCTGGGCACTACAAGTCTTTTATATAGTTATTCTATTAAAATATAGGTGGGTAAGAAATAATACAACTGTTACGAAATGATACCACTTTACTTTATTTACAAAATTGGTAATGAAAACTTAAGACGATGTATTTAGTGTACAAAGGTAACCAAACAAAAATTTTACAAACCAAAAGTTTGAAATTAAAATAGTGGTAACCAAACTATTTTTATAAACCAAATACTTAATTTAAATCACAATGCTTTTAAGCATGAAGTTAACATTATAATGAAACCAATAACATTATTTTCCAGGTTTGCGGTCATAGAAAGTACGTTTTAAATCACATTTTATTAAGCTAAGTAAAAATATAAGGGATAACCAAAATTTCAGACTAATACATGAGGTTAATAGTAAAGTAAATTATTTGAACTAATTCAACTAACGGAAAGAAGAAACAGTTAACGATTTTAACATAAGGGTATAAAATGTTTGTAGAATAAATCTAAGCAGAATTAAATTCGAAAGTGGATCATAAATAAACCTTTAAATATTTAGGTTGAATAAGCAAATTTTTAATTAAACTTTTTAACCAAATAAACTTTTGCTAAATATTAACACAAAGTAACATATTGCCAAATTGGTATGCTACTATGACTGTATATCTTCTTGAGAGAGGTCTTAGATTATTGTAGATCTTATTGAGGAAGTAGAGTGAAAAGAGAATAAAAATAAATATTTTTCGATACACTACTGTGAAATGACCTGCTTTTGTTACATGTTTATCACCTGCAAAAATTCATTATTACATTGTTGTGTGTACACTATGGAAAAAGAATGTTTACTATGCAAAAGTAATGTTTACTATCTTTCTTGGATTTTTCCGACGTAAACAAAGATTTTTTATTGTTTTGTCAACTGTTTTATTGTACAATCAACGTCAATACTAACTTTAAATTGAAGGTATAACCTAAAAAATATTTAGAGTTTTGTAAGATCCTAGCTGTAACAAAGAAATATCCAATGTCTTTTTAATTAAGAAAATAATTAGTCTTTGTAGTGTAGCGAAAAGTGACGTTCAAAACACGAGTGAAAGTGGGTCTATCTATACATATTGTCGACGATTTAAAGTGCGAGATTTTTCAAATATGTAATGACTCACTTTCTACTCTTGTTATGAAATATACTATAACATCTGCCTTGAAGCTAAAATTGTGCTGTTTCCCCTATTTTTAGTAACCAGACAAGAAAATGTCATCTATGAAGTTGCAACATAACATTTTTTGTCAGGAAAACATGCATTATATGATACAGCTGTAAACTCAAAAGCCACGAGCCTGATATATTTAGCAAAGCAGTATTAGCACCCATTAAACATACTCCCTTAGTAGATTTCCCATCCTTATGGAACAGCTGAAGCCAATTTTATTGTTAGTTCAGTCCGATGCACAGTAGAGGTTGTGTTTTGTTTACAATTTGTTTCTTGTTATTTCAGTAATTTACAACCCCGTTTAGCCAAATAAAACGATATAATCATAAACAATAACTCATCCTTTAGTTATATAACCAAACAGTGAAGCACAAATCATGAAAAAATAATAGAAAGAAAATGTTGTCGGCACTAGCCACCAGTGTCACCGGACATGAACTAGACACAAAAAAAGAGCTTCCAAATTTACAATGGGATGCGAAGTCTATTTGTGTTAGTTAGTGGTATTAGGCCTGGTTTTGATGCTACTGATAGTAGACCTACGTTGCTACTTCAACATTCACCCTACCATAGTTTCCTCTAATGCGAGGCCGCGGCGAGACAAAAATGGCAACACTGCAGACCCGGCATAATGAAACAGCTGTTGCACTAATTTATAATGGAGCGTGTGCGTTTATGTTTGTTTTTAGCGAATTTCCCATATAGGGAATAAGCTATTACCGTAGTACTCATAGTAAGACCTGGACGCGGGACCGATTTTTTTTTTCATTTTGAGGTCCCTAGAGGCCAAAAACACCATCCGTTCAAATTCATATATATATATATATTTATATATTTATATATATACAGTATATATATATATATGTGTCCGTTAGCACGATAACTCGAGCAAAAATGATCCGATTTTGATGAAATTTGTTACAAATGTGTAAGCCTACGTTTATTCGAACGAGTTCGCGATCCAGCATGATCGGACCATGGGAACGGGGGTTTACGGGGGGTTTTATGGGGTAAAAATAGGTTTTTCCCATTTTTGACCCAAAAAACATAAAATTTAGCAATTTCTTTCCAAACCATTTTGTAGAGCTTAAAAAAACAAATAATTTAGTATATTGAAGCGTTATTATGCGCCTAATGGTTACGGAGAAAATTCCAAAAAATTGTAAATTTAAAATTCCCATGTTATTCTTATGGAGAATAAGTAAATTGTTGTAGTTTGCTTGTTTATGAACATATTTTGATCAAATTTGGAAAATGTTTTTATTTCTTACTAACTATTAACGTTTTACAAAAAAAAAACAGTTTTACCCTCCCTGATGCAGCAAACCTAAGTACTAGTTAAACTAATTCTATTTAAATAGAGAATAAATGTTATATTTTTAAGTAGACATTTCAGTGTAAATCCAATCAGTCAAATGGAAATTCGCTTAGTCTGCAGGTTTGCTGCGGCGGGGGTATTGTGTTATTACCATCGCATTAGGCATGCCGGCGTATTAGAGCCCAACCGACGCGGCTTTGTATTAGAGGTGGCTATAACCCTACTTGTTTATTGTTCTCTCCCAAGTTGTCTGTAGATAAAATCAATATAGCAAAAGAATGAAATCATAGCATTCATAACAGAAGCACAACAAATAAGATAAAAATTGTAAATTTATTATTACTTAGCTAAAATTACAATTTTTTAAATTATTGCTATATAACTATTGTCCGACTATTACAAAAACACTTGAAAAAATATTTATCTATCTCCTTAAAATCAAATTTTATAATCTTTGTATTTAGTAATTTTTAATATTGCACAAATTATGTTGTTTCAGAAGCATCTTGTAATATTTATGCTAAAAATAATTTGTAGCAAATAGCAAACAATTGTATTGCTTACTCAGATCTCACATTTAGTCTTACTCTATACTTGACTATTCTTGACTATACATGATACCAGGATAAAAATGATGATTTTACCCTGTGAAAAATTGTTTTCTTTGAGTTTCATTTATGTTTGACTCTCTAAAAAATAGTTGCAGGGTTTTATGGGAAATTTGGTAAATGGAATGACAAATAAAATAAACACCTTGGGTAACATGAATGGTAAAAGTAATGAAAAATAAATACTTTAGGTAACATGAATTTACACAGAAACAATAAATCAATAATGTTAATGTTATTTATAATTATTTGGACATTTTTAGTTACATTAATGCTGTTTGTCAAAGTGTATATACATAATTTCAGAAATCTCACAATTTGATAATTTTTACATTTTGTTCCCTAGATAACATTGAAAAACACACAAAATTAAGCCTATATTTTATATTTCACATAATCTAATATAGTTTGTTGATACCTAATAAGAGTAACTACAGTATAATCTAATTAAGTTTGGTACCTTTCAGGTATTGTAGGCACTTTCAAACTAGTCCTTTATAAACATCGTCTTTTGGAATGCAAGTTTTAAGTCAGAATAAATTGTGTTGATCAGCTAATTTTAGAGCTATTGTTATTTAGTAGAACCCTGTTCCAGTTATCATCAGACTAAAGGGAATTATTTTTTTTCTTCAAATTAACAGTCAAATGTCATTCTCAGTAAACAAATTCTGGATAAATTTTTATTTTAACTCAACATTTACAGGAAACAGACTAGGGAAATTATATAAACTGACTGTTAGCTGACAGACAGGCTAAAAGTGTCATTTAAGGAATGAACCTGTTTTTTGAACGTGAATGAATTTGGTTTTTCTGCTTCAAATTGCTTGGATAAAACAAGGAAACGAACTAAACCATCAATTGAATCTGATTACGATGGAACAACTGATTATATTATTCCTTAGATTGTGTAATCTGTGATCTGCTACCAGTGGGAGGAACATGAAGTATTAGTTTTCCTTTGTTGTCAACAAATTTTATGTAAAATTAAATCCTACTTTAAATTTCTCATTTTCACCTCAAATGTAGTACGGGTTTCTTCTGAAGCAAGGTTCTACTGAAAAATTAGACTTTTTAAATTCCAAAATTTAGAAATATTGTTATCTCTTTTGCACAAAAAACATTGCTTGTCATATTTTTGTTTGTTTGAACAAACTAAACTTATTTCTAACCACACATAAAAAGACGTTACTACTAGCACTACGCTGATATAACAAAAGCGAGACCACATAGTACCTTAGGTACTGGTACTGAGAAAATGTTTTAGCATGTAACTTCTTCTATCCTGTCTATTCCCCAGCCGAACTCTTTCACATAGCCTGTGTTTGGAATAGCTTTGCGGCCCAAGATGTACTGCTCTACCGTCTTGTACATCGCCTTGACATGAAAAATAGAGTAGAATTACATAACATCCATGACAATACAATGTATTATCTGTAGATGTAATCAAATTTTCCCACCAACACTCAAACTGAACAAATACAAAAAATATACCATCCTATACAGTATTCCTTTTCAATTATATTTCTGAAAACCTCAAAAAAAGAACAGACAAAAAAAACTTGCTGGTTTACTTTTAACAGGTTACAATAAAGAATTTTCTTTACTGTAAAATAATAATTCATGCTTTCATAGTGTTAACGATTTGATTAATTATATTTCACATTTCATGTAACAAAAAAACTTCTTTATTGAAGAAGACATTGAACACATTTTCTTGCTCTTGAAAACCTAATTAAAAAAAAAATACCGGTATCCCAAAACGTTTTTAGAGTACAATTTTAAAGAATCCCAATTTAGAAATTAATTTTCTTTAGAATAGGCTATATATTGATCTAATGAAGTAAAAAAATTTTCAAATGGCAGTAGATAAGTCTTGGAACAACAATTACTCGTTCTTCAGCCAAAGGCGATACCACTGAGCTACTCTGTATGGTAAATTATATAAATAAGATTTGCAACAAAAATCTATGAGGGAAAAATTGGGGTAACATTCAAAACTTGCAGTATGCTTAAAGTTATTTTTGGCAATACAGTAGCACCTAATCTGGCTTAAACGAGTGGCGAGAAAGCTAGATTTATGAAAAGGCCAGATCGTGTAAATTAGTGAATTATGCTCACGGGTGTTGCTGGGATTGAGGGAGACGATCACGGTGTCCCCGAGACCGCATAAAAGATGCTCAAAAGAAGTGTGATTGTATGTGTATGCTATCAAATGGAAATAATTGTAAATTAGTAGCACTTGGTAGCTTTCTGCGGAACAGAAAAAATCTGGATGTGGCCTGCAGGCTATAGGTTGGAGAGCCCGGGTTTAGGATATGATTTTTGAAGGATGATACCAAGGGAATTCCTAGAAGGTCAGAAAATTGTCAAAGGCTGAATATGCTGAATATTCAAGGTTAAGAATTTAAGATTTTTCAAATTTGTTCATTATGTTTTGTACCTGTACTGTAGGGAGATCGTTATTAACGTCAACAACCAAAACAGGTGCAGGTAACGAAGACGGATCACAGTCCACCAACCAACGCTCGTAGCTGTTGTGTAGATCTGTCAAATACTGCAGACTGACAGGACTCTCCTCTGGTCTGCCTCTACGTTGCATACGCTCATACACTACCACAGGGTCACTACGCAAGTATACTGAAAAGAATATAAAGTCTAAGTACAACATAAACGGCAACTCCCTTTTAATATGCATTGGTATGGCTCACTTGTTTTGCATTGTATATCGGTGGAGTAAAAGAAATTGTGTCAAATTAAAAGAGCTAGTGCTGTTTCATTCTTGAAGAAAATACAAAACTTACTTTTTACAAAAAGTGCATGGTTAATAACAGACTGACTGACTAAGCTACAGGGCTAACACTCTGGTTGTCACCTACGAGTGATTCACACGCCACGGTATTAATTTCCACAAGCAGCACTAGTTGCAAATGACAAATGTACTTTGTGCCTATTGAATACAGCAGTTTTCCAACAGGGCTGTACATAACACCGGCTAGGGTTCTGTGGAACTTGCGTGCAAATTCTTTTATGGTTTTGCTGAAAAATCCAAACTACCGTGTTCTCGGCTGAGTTTGCAAGTGTATATTTTCATTTTGTCACCAATAAGTCCATGGTGTAAAAAGTGCTATGGAATAATTTATCAGGAATCGTCGTCACTATCACTTACCAATAAGATCAAGACCGATATCGAGATTGTTTTCAATCCAGTCATACCACTCACACATTGCTACATAGTCAGGATCTGCCAACAAACCGGCTTTATGGGCCATTTCCACAAAGCAGTACCTGTAACAAACAAAAATCATTATCTTGTGTATCAGCAGTGCAAAAAACTTTCCATTTCATAGACTGAGAAAAAGTTCAGTGTCTTTGAAAAAAAAAAAAATCCTTGACCCTATTTATGGTCAGGGAAAGGGAGAACTGAGAAGGACATGCGTGTAGAAGTAGATTACATTTAACAATTTTTACATCCTAAAGACAAAAGAAGATTGTTTTAGTAAGGAGATAAATGATTAATGTTGATAAACAATGATAATGTTACAAATGACAAATTGTCAATAAATAAATCACAGAGTCAACCGTGGATCCCAATGAGTAATTCCTACTGATAAGGTGTACTGTTGTCGTTGTCTTCTGTTGAATAGAAAAATAAATAAAATTGTCTTCTGTTCAGATGTACTTGTCCATTGCAGATGTATTGTCATTGTGTTGTGTCAACTTCAACTCTTTCCAGATCTTTCTGTATGGATTACTACCAGGGAATTATGTTTATCCACCATAACAAAGTATTACCTACATAAAATGAAGTATTTTTGTCCACTAATATATTGGCCAATACAATTTAAAATGTTTCTAAAATCTAATACTGAACAAATTGTAGTGTATTTTAATGTTACCAGTTGTGAAATAAATATGTTCATAAATTGTGTGCCAGTTGCATCTTTTGGGTAAGTAGAAAATTTTTTAATTGTAATGATGTTGATGATGCAGGAATTTAAGTTGATCAAATTTACATTTAACTTACACTCAAAATTCTTTGTTAGTCTAATGATTTAAAAATAAGCGCAGAAAATTCGTAAAGCTATGTAGAGGTTTTGGGGTGTCTTATTTTAGCTGGGATCGTCAAAAATTCCTTAAATCTAGGTTGTTGATATGGTTTGTTGTTGTTGTGAGGTAGAATATACATTGTGTCTGATGGAGAGTTCTAGGGGATTAAAAAAATTCTTTATATCGAGGAATTCGTTATATCAAGGATAGACTGTAGTACTAAGAACAAACAAAGGATCAAAATTTAACCCAAGGGAATTTCAAATGAACTAATCTTGTTGGTAAATGGATTGGAATTAATTGATCAGTGATTAAATTAAAAGACACAAGCCACTAATAGTTTAAGATTAAAATTATAAAAAAATCTAATAAGGACTTCCATAGTCAACAAATGATTTATGATAATTCAGCTTAGTTCGGTTTGATCAATCCAGAGAAAAATATGAAACTAAGTTGATCTGTTGGGCTTATTTTCAGTGGGTGGTAAAATTTAGGTAAGAACTTGAATGTAACAAAACATGGATTTGGACTAAGCTTATCAAGTGACAGTATACTTAACATAAAAGAAGACTTCAACAACTCTTTTCATTTGTTTTAACTATGTATTAAATAGAAACTAAATCTAACCGATTTGGCCCTGCAGAAAATAGACAACGTCGCTGGTACAACAATTCCGAGAAACCCACACCCCAGACACTGTCAGTCAAACGGTTCAAGATAAAGATACACTGGAAGTAAGCCTTCCAAGCTCTCAACACGCGCCCGCCGCGCCGCGAGTTTAAACAGTGCAATGTGATAAACAGAGCAGTAACTCTTATGTGTGCATAAACTGTTTGCATATATATAAGATGTAAGCATAACACAGTGACCTCTGAAGATGCCACAACCTGTGGTGAAATGTGCACAAGGAAAAAAACTCATCAAGAACTTAAGGCATCTACAAAACAAAAAGGCAACAAACATACAAGATAAAGATAAAACAACCAAAAAGGTCTTCTTAGACTGTACATTGATCGTCTCACTTTATTACCATTACCAAATGGCGATCGTTGACCAGATGTCTGGATTGATATTGTCATATAAAATTTACTTTTAAAAATGAAATAAACTAATATTTGTAACAACATTTAAAAAACACTCCATGGGGGCCGGATTCATACTCAAAAGTCCATTGCTGTGGTAAAGTATTCCTCGATGGAATAGAAGCAATTCCTACTAAAGCACTTACCTATTAGTGCTGGGTTTGGTATTTAAACCCAAAGTAGTATTTTACACTCATTCAGATTTATTAAAATAGGTACCGTACCTAGGGGAGGGGTACATATGGTGTCAAAGTTATAACGACAATGAAGTAAACAAATGATTCTACTACACTAAATTATATGGTTAGAATAACCTGTTATTTTGAAGAGATCGTTCAAATATCTGGATCTTGTGTTCCGACTCCAGAACCTGAAGACTGAGTCGACTCAGTTGAACGTAATGCTGGAAAGTGAAATTCCAGCGTTGAGGCTCAGCGTATGTCAACATCAACAGATTATGTCCTTGTACGTTTTTCCAGGAATCTAGAGGCTCCTGCAAAACAATTACTAAGCGGTTAATGTAAATTTCAAGGTATTTCATAGGCGTGTTACAAGAGGACACTATATTTGCCATTTAGAATAGGGCCTGTGAAATACTTTTCAAATGCCTAGGTAGACCAATTCTCATGACTTTCCTCTATATTCTTGAAATTGTGATCAATCTACAATTACAGTACTGATGATGGCATCTAATTTTCCTCAAAATAATTACAATACAATAGGCAGAGAAATGCTCATAAACAGAACCTTAGTAGTAAAAAGAGTTTAAAAGAACAAAATTAAAGAAAATCTTTTTGCTAATGGATACTACTTTGCAACATAAATTATTGAATGATAAAACAAAAACTTGTATTCAATGATCTTTATGTGACTTTTTCTACTTTAATAACATGTCCAAGATTACCGGTAGCAGTTAGAAAAATGTTGAAAAAAGACACGTCGCTACTTGTTGTACCAAATAGGCTAATTTAATACAAATCATATCTGGTTACACAAATGGTATTTTTTTATTATTTATGGTAAAAAATTGTAAAACCTTCCACGGTTGGTTTCCACTTTATTGGAGGCAGCTAACTTAACAGTGGAGCATATTTTCTTAAAAAAATGATCAAGCTTTTTAAAACAAATTGTTATTATCAAATAGGCTTGATCAACAGGGACCATATCGTGTTCTGAGCTTAAAGGATCAGCAACACTGTTCAGGTTTTTTTCTTTTTATCAATGTTTGTTTTTGTTGTGTACGGTAACTGATAGCAGTGATAGCTATGACCATTAATCTTGGAACCCAGAACCCAGCCCTGCAGTTTGGCTAATTTTTCAAAATCTTTTCATCACAAAAATTAACTAGTAATTTTTACTCTTCGCTGAAAATAGTTTCCTTCCCTTAAGAATGCCAAAATTTAACTATTATTTTAAATTTCAAAGTCAATAAACTTAAAATTCAACCTGGCTGGTAGCTATTTCCCTCCTAAAAAGTGACAAATTTAGAAACAGTAAGAGATTTTGTAACAATTGTAGAACTTTCATTTTTCTATAGGGTAGCTTCTGTGATTTTTATTTTATTTATTCATCCAACAGGATGGTAAAAAATGAAACAAAAGTATTATCAGATATATTTTACGTACGGGACGTGAGTCAACCTCAGAAAACTTCTTGAAATAGTTTATAAGAGTGGATTTCCCACAACCAATGTTTCCTTCTATTGACACTCTTAATGGACGCTTTGAGTGATCTTCTGATTGAGCTTCGCTACTTTTACAATCTGCACCCATTTTCTTGAAGGTTACTGATGATGGCAAGCACCTAAAAAATTCTGAAATTGAGTATGTTATAGGTCTATTTCAGACTAATTAGTAGCCTACACTGTTTTATTACTAAATAGACTTGGCATGAATACGCAGTAGAGTTAACTTTGTAAGATCAAGTATCAAAGCAGGTCTCTGTTCAGTTTCCGATTATGTCCACTGTCTTTATTTATTGTCCACAACAGGGAAAGGTAAAGAAGATAACGAGGGGGTTTGTTAATTTATTTTAATTGCAAATTGCAAGCACCCGATTTTTCTGTGGTTCTTTCAGAATACATAGAATTGAGACCTAAGTTTGAATGAGCTTTCCGTTGCATGGAGTGTAAAAAATGTCATCACACAGGCTTATCATTATTACGACTATCTGCAGTAATATCCTGATAATTAGACCAATTCGTTCAGCCTAAGTTAACAACACTGGGCCCTGGCCCTAACTTATTAAATATTAACCAGCAGTGAATCAGGTGTTAACATGTAATGATGAGGTAAGGTAGGTAACCTATGTAAAATGCGAAGTAAGATGACATATTAACTTACTGTCTAGTGTCTTTATAGTACAGTATAGACTTTAGACTTACGACTTGGATTGGATTACTAGTTTCTTAAATGATGACCGCAGCATCAACTGTCAACAGTGTCAACTTGCAGATCTTAGGTGTAACCTTTTAGATGGATAGGCTAATAGATACACTCTACGAACCACCACAGGTTAACAAGATGAAGATGACACTTCTAATGTTCTAAAATATTAATTTACTATCCATCCGTATTCCGTTATAGGCCTATACCTCAAGCCTACACTCTAACTCTTAAATCGGAAAAGAAAACCCGAAAATCGTAAACACGCAATAACAACAGCAACGAACGACGTCAATAACCTCCAACATTTTCCCGCCGAAGAAAATAAAATAAACGAACAGACTAAAATGAATACTCGCCATGGAGAAAGAAGCATTAGATTTAAAAGCATAGACTGCAAACTGTTATAGAAATTATAACCATAGATTAATTAATTATTAGAGGAAAATATTTAATCTGTAGGTGTAGTATAACTTCATCCAGTGACAGTTTATACAGTTTTTGCAACAAACCTGCCGACTAAACAAATTTCCATTTGCCTGGGTTGATTTTCAATTAAATCTATTAAAATTAGCATTTATGTTTAACGAGTACCTAGGTTAGCTGCTACAGGGAAACTAATAAAGTGTGTTTTTTATTAAAATATCAATGGCTTAGTATGAAGTAAATAAATCCGCCAAGTTCTTAAAAATATATCCATAAACAAGCCAACGTTTTACAACATTCTCCATTAAAATAACATGGGAATTTTAAATTACAATTTTTTGAATTTTCTACGTACCGGTAATCAATCACCGTACAAAAAACACTTTGATAGTACTAAATTATTTTTTTAAAGCTCTTTAAAAAGGTCTGGAGGAAAATGCATAAATTTTGTGTTTTAAAGGTAAAAAATGAGAAAACCCCATTTTTACCCCCATAAAACCCATGGTCCGATCATGCTGGTTCGTGAACTCATTCAAGTTTATCCACGGCCACCTTTAACTACAGGCCACGGTCTGAGGTTTTCCCTTCTGCTAGTGAAATGGCAATTTATTTGGTTTAATAGATTCTATGAACTTTATACTGAGTCCAAAAAAGGCAGTCAGAGAATGTTTATTTATGTTTACATTGAGATTAGCAATACAATCTGTATGTAGAAAATAATCAACAGATATATTTTGTAGTTAAATTTGACTACATGATGTGCATCAGTGCTTCATAAAACAATTCCAAGGCAACCACAACAAAAGACAAAATGTTGAGGGAAAATGTTTACTTCTTTAGTTCTTCCTTCTTCTCTCCTGCCATATGTACAGTCTACTGTCTCCTGTCTGTTAATCTAATTAACCTAGTGTTCTCTTCTGTACTGTCACTACTCACTATACTGTCAGATTCTGTCACTCACTGCTGCCGCTGCTGCGCTGCAAGGCTGCATTGCATTCACTGATGTGGGATACTCCGGTTCGTGGTTGGTTGCGTGTTGTTTTCTGTCGTCGCTTGTCTGTTCTTAGGAAGTCAAAAGTCAAGTGGCCCTGTCTGTCAGTTAATTTGTTATAGTTATGCTAATGCAAAGAAATCCTTGAAGAGGAATTCTGTAAGTTAGTAATATTGTTAAGTATGTATTAATTAGACTAGGCCCAATCTATTCAATATTTGTTTACTTAATAAGGAAATAAACTAGGCCTAGGATGTTAATCAACCCCAAGAAGTTAAACAATAAAGGCAATATTAAGTCTAACTCAACTTAGCCTAAGTTATAAGCCATTTCTTGAGATGAACTTATAATGTTTTACCATGTACATTAAACATACTCCTAGGATAGTCTATGGTTTTACCGACAAGCTTCTTTAAAATATGAGTTTTTTTTTAGAGTTTTTACACCAAAAATTTAAGTGTTTATAGGCCTAGGCCTAGCTTTAGACATTTAGTCTAGAAGAATCTGGCAGTAATGATTGAAGTTTAGTAACTTGCTGCAACTTACTAAGTTACTTTGTAGTCAGTTAACGTACGGAATAAGCTTAATTGCCTTTTTTTAGTTTAATTCAATTTCCAGCAGAAGCCTTGTTCTTGATGCAATTCCCAGTTGAATCTGCCAAGCAATAAGCTAGGCCTACAGAAATTTTTTGTTTTGAGGGATAAGAATGAGTAAAACCAATTTTTACTCTATAAGAACCCCTCCCACAAAACCCATTTTCCCTTTGTCCGACCATGCTGGTTCGCGAACTTATTCAAGTTAATCCTGTCCTACATCTCAGGCCAAATTACATCCAAATCGGCCAAAAATTAGTAGTTTATATCGGTCCTACTCTTACCATGAGACCTACACGGCAATAAGTTTAGCTACTCCCTTATAGGTAAATTCGCTAAAAACACTAGCTTAATACAGTAGTTTTTTGTTTTATCAAAATTAAATCGTACAGGCTATCAAAGTTATCAGTCGTATGTCAGTATCTAGGCAAGCTTGTTTCTTTAAAACCTTTTTTCTCAGTTTGTGTCCATCGCAGGGAAAATCTATGCATTCTGTTGGAAAGATATTTCCTGTTGATGTGCATAATCTACAGAATAATAACCCACCATTCATCACTCTATAAATTAAAATAGGCTAAAAAATAAGCACAAAAATCAATTTAAAATTTTTAAAAATTTACATACGGGCTTTGTGAATTGCCATGCTGATGACCAAATAGCAACAAAACATCAGAAAATTAAAACAAATTAAAGAAAGTCCAATCAAATTTTTTATTTACAGCCTGGTGATAAAATAGAGAAGTCTGTACATTACACATTTTTGGTCGGGTTTTTGACCACTGGACGACCTCTAGTTTAGTTTAATACCCCAGAAAATAAATGTTAATATATTTTTTCAGAAAAATGGCCAACGCTGAGTTAGCAGCGCTGGTGGTAGCCAAGCTGTCTCCCGGTCCTGGAGAACATGTCGCTGTTGTATCCTTTTCATATATCAGAAATGTTAATTATCTTTACACAACTTACATACAATGTTCTAATTTACAAGGTCAAATTTAATACTAGATGCATATGCATGAATCAGACCATACCCCAATTTTGTGTTCAAGAGAGAGGTTACATTCCATGTTGGTAATCTGAAAAGTAGCTTTTTGATGGTTCAAAACAGGACCCAGCTGTTCCTGATTGTTGGGCTTTAAATAAATGATACTGGCTAATGAAACAGCTGATCTTAGTAACAAAGCTACACTAACTCACACCATTCTACACTCTGCTTGCGTTCCATTTCTTCAAATACACCCAAAGTTTGCATCACTATCTCACAGAATTAAGAATTAATAAGTCTTGCTTCAGGTGCTAATACTGCTACTGATAAAATATTGGCACCCTATTTGTTTTTTAAGGTGGATTAAAGCTTTGAATAGTTTTATTTGATGTACCAGTAACTGTAATTTTTTTGTGCAGTCGTCAAAAATTTCTATTTTATTTGCACTATTAGGGTCAAACCACAATTTTTCGTGAAGTGATCTTACTATTTTCTTAAATTACAGGTCCTATCCTTCACTCAGATTTGGGTTAAAATACACACCTAAGTGGTGTCCCCATCTCAATTGATAATTGATACCTAATAATAATTCTTTAAAAATTATTTTTCCTATTTCGAAATTACATTGTGTGGAATCATACTTTTATTTCAAATTCGTCTGATGTAAGCTGATCTTTTTAAAAATCCTTTTATTATTGTTGCTTGTTAATATTTATTTTTTTCATTCAATTTGATTAATTTAGTGAATTCATAGCTTAATATAGGTACTTATATTTTTGAGGGAATTGACATTAACTTTTATGAGTTAATTCATTGATAGATAAAACAAATTCATTACCGTACTATAAAAGAAGTGGGCTGCCCACCACTCATGCCCCTAATTGACGCCGGCAATTTCAAACTACAGTAGACCCCCTCTTAACCGACCATAATGGGACCGGACCTAGGTCGGATAACTCAAATGGATAACTTCCAAAAACATCGTAATACAGTACAGAACCTTTTGTCGACATTAAAGATACAAGCGACCATTTTGTTACAAAACAGGACGTTTATTTATAGCCTCTCACTGGAGGCTCGAGGCACAAAAACTATCTTGACCTTGGAGTTGTTAACCCCCCTTCCCTGCCTTCCCTACAAGTTGCATTGTTTGTTTACTCCGGCGATAAGATAATCAGTAATCAGTTATCAAAATCGTAACGCACTATATGATGTTATAAATTTGCCGCACAGATAACAAATCAGATCAGATGTGCTCGAGCTACGAACGATGATGGCAAACTGACAATAGGCTATGCCATATTTTTTGTGATCAACACAAAATAACTTATTGTTAGTCATATCCTGTGGAGATAAGCGTATGGTTTAGTTCTCATCGCCCAGCGTGGGAGCGGAAATGCCGAGATTCCTAGAAAGCGGCGGTTAAACCGAGCTGCTCTCAAAGCAAGGTCGGTTAAAACAAACTGTATTATTTTACGATCGAAGGCGGATAATCCGATTATCGGTTAATATGAGGTCGGTTAAGAGGGGGTCTACTGTAAATAAGTACTGTCTTAATTTAACTTATATTTTAAAAGAACGGGCACATGTGAGTTTTCCCTGAGTGGAGCGAAGTGAATCTCTTTGGATTGAGTTAATTTTAAAAGTTTTATTGAAAATTTAATTCTGTAGTGCATGGAACTATCTCTGATATAAGAGAATTAGAGCACATTACATTCATTATTTTTTGCACTATCTAATTACACGGTTTTAATCAATTTGGTCTGTAATGTCATAAAATATACACGAGTTTCTGTATACCGTATATGTTTGTCGCGGGTGAACGCAAATTCCAACCAACCTACTGGACTGAAATTTTACACTGATTAAACACCCAGCCAATAACCCATTGATTGTCTAATGTTTTGAAATAGGTAGACTTGATGAATCCAATCTGACTCTACGTAAGTTATTCCTTGACGTTGAGACAGGCCCATGAAGCAAGTTTGATGCAGGGTTGGGTAAGAACGTCTCGCATTTTGGCTTTATTAGAGAAGGACACTAACTACGCTCTGATCGTGTTCCTGTCCTCCCAGACTCCACCGATCGCCTACTCTGAACTCACCATTGAACGAGTTCTGCCCATCAACTCTGACTTCAAATGTGATATAGGTAAGTAACACTCTATCCTATAATATTTATAGATTTTAGATGTTATTCAGGCTTTACCATTGATAAATAATATAGGCTAGTAATGAGTGATCACAATAACTTTATTAAATTAATAAATACATTAGGCCTATAGAAATAAAGCTATTGAGGCTTCCTCACATACATTGTTTGAACATTTAGTAGTTTGCAGTAACTCGATTTAATGGGGAAAACGCCGGACAGGAGATGTGGTTCCTCTTTTACAGAAAAATACTGGCTTTAATAGGTACTAAACAAATTAAATAGGTTATACTTCCGGCACCTCAATTTTTACAAATCGAGCTCTGCTAGTTTGAAATATAATTTTTATTGTACTTCATAGTTTTTGTAGAAAGTAGGCCTAGTATTTGAAAACTTAAAACTTACTTCTTACCCGAGGTATTAATTTTTTATTTTTATTTCAGATTTAACTATATCCTAACTTGAGATGGGGCTTCAGCAAGTAATTTTGGAACCTCTAATAAGACAATAATTTAACAATCGGTGTACTTTTTTAAAGATTTTAAATTATTTTTTAATCGGCATACTATGTGTTTTCAAATTCACAAAAGTTTTAAAAACACATCTTTAGTAAGACCTTAAACTTACACAGTTTGAAACTCACAAAATGGTAAATATAAAAAAGATTATTGACTGTGATCAATTTTGATTAGGGTGTCCAGTCGAGATCGATCGGCACTTAACCATCTTTTATAGGTCTCAGATATTTTTAAAGTGTGTTAAACTATTTTTTTTATTTTTATTTTAAGTGAACTGCACAAATTCTAATTAGTCATTTAATTTTCTTAGACACAGAAAGTAGACATCAAGATGGAACAGATGTATACATCACTTCTCGGAAGCTCAAACTGCTCTTTGAAATGGTCCCTGGAAATAAAACCAGCAATTTCGTCAGTGAAGTTCTACGTGCAATTGATTGTAAGTCTAAGAAACACATTGATCGTTAAAGCTACTAGCGCTAGGGTTTTGATGGAAATAATTTAAAATGGATTGCTCAGGTTTTTTTTAAGATTGTAGATGAATTAAAGCAAGTAAAAGGCTATGATGAAAACCTCTAGCCTATAGTGTAGACAAAGTGGCAAATGAATTTAAACAATTTCAAATGACGGGATTAAGTAAAAACAATTAAACCAAGAGTAATATCGGACAGTTTTTATCGTTTATTGAATGGAAACTGGACAGGGGATTTTTTAAATAGGTTAGAAGATGGTGATGACTTGTAAAATTTAGCAGTAGGTCTATTATTTTAATATATAGGAATTCCATTTACAAATCCTGTGATGTCAAGGATCTACTAGAAGCTTTTTTTGGAGCACAAGTGAATTAGCGCATAGTTGAATTCCTGAGTGTATCATATCTATAATAGGCCTACTGATTCTTTGTATGTTTTTCATATTGTTATGATGTTTTACTGACATTTGATTATTATTTTTATAGTGTTAGGCAAGAAAAGGAATGGATCTCAAGATTTCTCATGGCTCAACAAGTACAACCCTGTTTCAACTGGAGCTGATGATAATGCTGAAGACACTAAGGATCCGGTAAGTGTATAAAGCGCAGAAGACACATTGTATTTGTTCATTTCATAAAATTTCCTCTTTAGTGACGAAGCTGTTTCTTCCCTAAAGAACTAATGTACTTCTTGTTTTATGTTCTCGGAGGCTAAAAACACTATTCATTCAAATACATAAAGCATTAAATAAAGCTTTAGAGATAGTAATAATGATCGGATTTGATGAAAGTTGGTACAAACGTGTAAACCTAAGTGTAGGCTATGTAAATAATTTTGCAAAATGATCAGATTTGATCAAAGTTGGTACAAAAAAGTAAAACCTAAGTCTAGGCTATGTAAATGATTTCACAAATCAGCATGAATGAACTGTGGGGACTCAAGGTTTTGAGATAAAAATTGTTTACCCTAATTTGCATCCTTAAAACTTATAATAGTTTGCAATATCTTATTAAAAAATTGAGTAATCCAATGGGCTTAATTAAGTATATTGAAGTGTTTGTTTTTTTACACTTAATGGCTTAAAATTTCCATTTCTCTTCTGGAGGATAAATAAGCTGTTGATTGACTTGACACTATTCAACACATTTACTCTTGTGTTTTATTGAATAAAGAATGATTTGATTTATTGATTGATACCTTAGCTAAACCGTACGGGCAGATAATGAAACAAAAGTAGGCGCACATTCTTTGAAAGCCACTGGATAAGCAGGATAAGCTTTACATTTTCCATGTTTGGATTCAAGAGTTATCTTCTGGTAACATTTGACTTATATTTTCAATATATTTCCACAGTTACTATTGGACAGTCCCGAGATGGCCGTCCCGAGACAGAGTATCGCCAAAGGTCACACACCGATCGCAGCCAGAGAGAGTGTCATCAGATACCAGATGGCGATGAAGGAAGACGACTACACGTACACACAGACACTCAGGTATTCTGTAGTCAATGTTTTCATTTACCTAAAGCCAGCAGAGTTGGTTAAGGAGGGGAAAATTGTCAAGGTTTATGATGAAAACCCTTCAGGAGCGAAAATGTGCAGTAGGCCCCTACCTATTCCTATCGGGCCTATGTTTATTTTCTTCTGTGCAGCAGTTTATGATTGATGTAAAATATTTATTAATTTACTGAAAAATGTAATCATTTTTTGCTGGATTAAAATGTATAAAAGTATATTCAGAAATTATAGATGTTGTCCAGTGGTAAAAAAACTTAACCAAAAATATTTAATGAACCTCTATTTTCACCCCACGCTGTAAATTAAACATAAATTTGGATTTTCTTCCATTTGTTTTAATTTTCTGTTTGTATTTCGTTGTTATTTCGTCACCAGCATGGCAACCCATAAGGCCCATGTTAATTTTTAAAATTTTAAAATCTTTTTTTGTGCTTATTTTTTAAGCCTATCTTAGTTTATAAAGGGATTCTCCACATCTACATTAAAATATCTTTTTAACAGTATATTTGAATTTTCCCTGCAATGCACACAAGTTGAGAAAAAAGGTTTACATGCTTGCCTATTAATAAATAGGATACCGTTGTTACTGCGCTTTAGGCGTAAACAGTTTTGAAAATCAATGAGAAAGACATTGAACTGATTCGTAATAGGCTGCTTCATATTATTGGACACAATGGTGAATCAATTTTCACAGCATATTTTATATCACATGTGTGAAAACCAATGTTTATTTCAGATTCGGGACTTGATTCTTAAAGATTTTGATTCAGATTTAATTTTTGAAATTCCTAGATTTGACCATCGTTACTGAACCATCAGCATCACATTGTATACATACACTTTTTTCAAAGTATAGATATAAGAACTATGTCCCACTTTTACAGCATCCTAGGATGCTAGGCTCTAGCATGACACACCCGTTTTACAAATTACGTCAGGCTAGGTCCAGAGGGTCTCAACATATCTCATGAATAAAATCCATTAGTGATCGGTGGGATTCTAACCCAGGACCTCAGGGATCGAAGTTCCACGCTCTTCCACTACCGCTCTATTGATTTGAGACATTAAAGTAACATTAACACTAATACCGAAACCCTACTTCGGCTGACGTTAACCGAAACCACCGGTCTGTGAGACCCCGTTTGAAAAATAATGGACCATGCTTAGAAACACACAAACCGAAACCCTCGGCCTGTGGGACCCCGCTTTAAAATACACTAACGCTGGGCTTTTGAGATGTACATGTTAGGAACAGACAACCTGTCAAGGTCACGGCACCCATGCAAAATTAACAAAAAATATATCAATAGGTAGGGGAGGGAAAGGGGGAAAGGTATTGGGGGAATGGAATCTCCCAAGTAAACAGTGTTGCCAACATGCATAATTGAAAATTACCGTGGGCCTGTCAGACCGGGGTTTCGGTATTAGTGTTAAGTTACAATCCACATTAAGAATTTTTACTTTTATACCACCATAAGGGTTACATTCAAGAGGTTTTGCAGGGTGTTCGTAGGGACGTGGAATGTTAACGGACAGCCTCCCATGAGTGTGTCACTACAGCCGTGGCTTGCCTGTGACTCAGAGCCTCCGGACATTTACGCTGTCGGCTTCCAGGAGCTGGACCTCAGCAAAGAGGCGTTCCTGTTCCATGACTCCCCCAGGGAAGAGGAGTGGAGGTATGTTATGTAGATAACCCCCAGCTGCAGTAAATATGCAGACTAAACAAAATAAATTTTCATTTGACCAGTTTGACTATCACTAATATATTTCCTTAAAATTGCCTGATTAATTTCCTATGGGCATCATGTGTTCAATGAGATGTAGGTTTGCTGCTACAGGAAAGGCAATAAAGAGTGTTTTTATTGAAATATTAATAGCTTATATGAAATAAATAAATTTGCTAAATTTAATCAAAATATTATATATCCATAAACTAGCAGAAGAAAATCTTAAATCCATGCATAGCTTGGTATGCACATAACTTTAAAGGTCTTTGTTGATCAAATACAATGTTGCAAATTTGAGTTTAAAAGAACAACTGAGTGAAAAATGGCAGCTGTTCTAAACTGCAAACATTCTAAGCTGCAAATTTCAGAAAAATTTGAACGGCTGTTATTTTTTATTCAATTGTTTTGGATCAACTTTTGATCTACAAACTTTTGGATTTATATTAAATTTTTTTACCTTTAAAGGGATGTATGTGCATATCATCCTTTGCTTATATTTAAACATTTCTTTTGATTCCTAGCGGGCTATCCCAGGGGGTAGCATAACACTGAATAATGTGTAAAATTGATTTTTATGCCCAGTAACTGCATGCCATGTTTTGTAGCTCTATATGTAGTTTTTTATTATGTAACTGGTCCGGGATTTTTTGGCACCCTGTATTTTGGCCGTGTCGGTATTTACCTTATGTTAACACTAATACCGAAACCCTACTCCGGCTGACGTTAACCGAAACCCCCGGTCTGTGAGACCCCATTTGAAAAATAATGGAACCCGCTTAGAAACACACAAACCGAAACCCTCGGCCTGTGAGACCCCGCTTTAAAATACACTAACGCAGGGCTTCTGAGACGGACATTTTGTGAAACAGACAACCTGTCAAGGTCACGGCACCCATGCAAAATGAAAAAACAATATATCAATAGGTAGGGGAGGAAAAGGGGGGAAGGTATTGGGGGAATGGAATCTCCCAAGTAAACAGTGTTGCCAACATGCGTTTTCGAAAATTCCCGTGGGCCTTTCAGACCGGGGTTTCGGTATCAGTGTTAAGTTTTAGCTCAATCAATTCAGTAGTTTTGCGTTTAAGTTAAACAAACATACACTTGGAACACCTAGACTTTATAATTTAAAAGGTTTAAAGAATCTTCCAGATGTACATGTTGGTTTAGTGTGATTTCTTTTGTAGATTATAGTGCACAACAGAAATGCCAACATTATGTATTGCAGGCAGGTGGTGATAGCAGGGCTACATCCCAAGGCAGAGTACCAACAAGTAGCTCTCGTGAGGTTGGTAGGCATGATGCTGCTGGTGTTTGTACAGAAACACCACTACAACTACATACGCAATGCAGCTTTTGAAACTGTCGGCACTGGGATAATGGGCAAAATGGTAAGTTTAGAAATTTATTTTATGGTATTCTTTACTTTTACCTTAAGGTGTTTAGGAATCTTAGTTTAATTAGGTAAATGGACTGTTGATAGAACTAGATGCTCCATCCCCATATAAAGTTGTCGCTAGTTTTCTAATCAAAATGAACGTAGTTGAGGTGAGCCGCCGACAGATTGCGCCAAAGTTAATTACTGATTTCAGTCACATAATATGCGAACTTTCTAACCAAGATAAACTGCTAGGATGACTTTTTGTAAACTTTAGCATCTGTTGTGTCACGAGTCACGAGTATTATCTCAGTAACCAAAATAAGCAGGGAAATAACATTTTTAGGCACTGAACCTGTAAATAGCTCTCTTAACACTAGTGTCTCATTTACCTGGTCCGGAACCTATGAGAACATTTTCTGCGAATGAGTGGGGGATTGTGGGAGAGCCCCTCATGTCGATTTAAGAAACATTTTAAATTAAATGTTTAATTTTAGCGAATTTCCCATATAGGGAATAAGCTATTGTAGTTATAAAATTAACTTTTTGCTATAAAATTAATTTTACAATTGAAGATTAAACTGTAATAACCTAACCTAACCAACCAAACTTGCTGATAATATAAAAAAGATATAAGATATAAATCGTGGTTTACTAGTAAAAGGTTTACTAATAAAAAAAATCATTCTGTCCATAAATCCTACTAATATCCATAAATGAGAAAGTTTGGATGTGATGTATGTATGTTTGTGACAAGTAAACACGAAAAATACTGGTCGGATTGGGCTGATATTTGGCATGATGATAGCTCACATTCCCGATAGGCATATTCTTATCTCAAAAATCCTTTCGGGCTCCGCCCCAGCGGCTTTGCAGTTCCCAAAGTTAACCTTATGAGTATATTTAAAGGGAATTAAAGAATTTAGCTAGCTGTTTCAACAAAAAGAGTTGGTTCTATGTTATGCAAAAGCATTAAAAATTTATAATATTTTCCAACAGCAAAAGACCCCAAAAAAAGGCAAAAGCCAAGGTGTTTGGTGCAGCACTATTATTTTTTTCATTATTTATGAAAACAGCTAATTTGAACATAGCAGCAACAAAAAAACTGTTATACACAATGAGAACTGTCAAAGTAGGATTGTTTATAGTTATGTTTTTAATTTCATGAATAATTTGTGATATTTCTTAATAATCTATCTTTCTCTATTGTGTAGGTGAAGTGGTAAAACAGTATGGCTATGGTAGATGTGTAATACTATAGCATACCGTAAATTTGAGGAAGCAAATTTTCCGTGTCTTCTCACATTGCAAACGCAAAGATTGAGTATAACTGCAATAAGCATTTTATACTTATTTGCCACGTACGGGTACTCTGATAGTAAAATTATAAATCTTAAAGAGATATATAATTTACTTCCAAACTTTGTACATTTTCCTCTACTACCCAAATTTTAAGATTTACAAATATTTTTAAGGGAAAATAAAAAACCCGTTACAATTCTGTCTTAAACTTAACTTTTCCATCCCCACCTTACGAATGAAACGGGAATGAATGGTCCTTGGTTTACGGGAATGAATGTACTTGGTACTTGACAGTTTGACGTTTTGTTCAGGGCAACAAGGGTGGAGTCAGTGTTAGGTTTGAGCTTCACAACACGTCCCTGTGTTTTGTCAACTCCCATCTTGCAGCTCATGTTGAGGAGTTTGAGAGACGGAATCAGGACTTTCACGATATCTGCTCCCGCACCAGCTTCTCCACGTTCCTGCCACCGAAAGGCATCAAGGATCACGAGTGAGTAAAATCTGCTTGCTTGTAAATTTTATTCATCATTTGCAGTGATTGAAGCTCTTTAATTTTTTTGCCACTGTAAGGTATCAAGTATTCAAGAGTAAAAATTCACGAGCTCAACAACTTTAACCAAAGTAATTAATCAATAACTTGAGATACATTTTTTTTATATCTCAAATCAAATCAAATCAAAATCTCTTTATTCCTGAATAAATGTCACATGTTGTTAAAACTGTGTATGTACAGCAAAAATAATTCCCAAGTAGACTATCCGTCTGTGTTTGGAAATGAGTTGCTAATACAAAATTGTAAATACGCAGGTCCATAAATATTCAGGAGTACTTTGACAATTAATGATGATAGTAAATAAAAAAAATCTATGCTAGAGTTATTTGTAAAATTTTTCATTGTGGGAAACAGTCATAGTAAACTAATCTAGAGGTTGAATACCTTTTTGCCAACATAATCCTTGGTAGACTTAATGGCTATTGGTTTCGTCACACTTAGACGTGGTTTTTGCTCCAAGGCTTGACGATCTAGGAGCGACAACTGCGTCTAGGTTTGACAATGATACCATAAGTGTGTCAAAACTGGTAGCCATTACGTCTACCAACGATTACGTTGGCAACAACCTCTAGATTAGTAATTGTTAAGTAATCCGGAAGGTAAAACCTCAGAAATGTCATAGTAAGTTATTTGTGGCTCCCAATAACCATCGTGAAGTTTGCACCACCATGAAAAAAATGTAAGGCTTGATTTGTGATCTTTAAAGGTATAAGAATTTGTAACGACCCAAAACCCGTCAAGGGGTAAAAACCCGATTTTTACAAAGTTTCATTTTAAATATTATAATTTTCTACGTTCGGGGTAAGCCGCGCCCGCGTTGTCAGCGGCATCGTAGGGACAAGGGTCCTACGTCATCGTAGAGGGGATGACGCTAGTTACCTACCCCGCCGCCAGGGGCGATGGCGAAGAAGGACCAGAAGAGCAGACCTCACAGTCAGTCGTCCACCCGCTACCGAACCGTCAGCACGCTTGCTGTTTGGAGACAATCCAACAGTCTATAACCTCCTAAATTCTGGTCAATTAAAGATTTCCCCCGTTCCTGGTAGAATCATAAGTCATCAGGTTAGTGTGCTACCGAATTTATTTTGTTTAATCTCATTTTTAGAGAAGTTTTATTATTTTTATTTTACTGTGCCGCAGTCGCGCGCACCCCGCACGCTTTTTCACGTACGAGCACACTACCTTTTGTCTTAAACCAGCTTCGGAAATCAGTTAAGTTGCCGGAACGGTTTACGTACGACTTACCTCGTTACCCCGGACCGTCCTACGTAAATTTGGTTTAAGAAACCCCGTACCGACTCTGGTGATCGACCGAGTCAAATTTTCCCGACACGTTTACTTTGGTGATTACCAAGTATAACGACCGAGTCTCGTTTTAGTTAAGTTTCTAATTAATTAGGTTATTCGCATTCATAATAGGTTATTCAAAATTCTAAATTTAACTTCCAGTATTTTCGAGTGGCTATGATGAACACTTGTTAAAGGTAAGCTTAACATTGTAAGCATTATTGTTGTATTTAATTCTGAGCCAATAAACTCGAAACTATAATTAATTAACAAACACGTTAGAGCCCTGGACTATCTCATTGTAGGCTAAGCTATCTGGACAAATTTAAGGTGTGAAAGAATTTCAGGTGAGACGACAATCACGTACTATAAAATCTCAATTTTGTCTCTCAACCCGAAATTTCGTCATAAATTTGTGCTCGTAAGAAACAATTAAAAATAACACAAAAATAACTGTTGGTGGGACTAATTCGACGTCCAGCCCGTCACCAAAAGACTTTGCCATTATTATACATCTAAATTTAGTGCTCTATTTTTGCTTCATCAATCTATAAGTTTTAGAATTTGAGATCCTAATCACAGTGTTGGGAAGTAGCGCGCTACAAGTTGCGACGCTACAGTAGCGCGCTACTTTTTTTGTAGCGTTAGCTGTAGCGTCACTACTTTTAAGATTTTGTAGCTTTAGCTGTAGCTAGCTACATTTTTAAAGTAGTTGTAGCGGAATTTTAGCTACTTTTCTCGCTACATTAACATTGTTTGAGATAGTGATTTTTACCATAACCTCAACCTTACGTGAAACAACATCTTTCAAACTGAGATTTTCAAAACAATTAGGCCTACTTTCTTGGCTTCATACAGCTGGTTGCAGCCGTTTCATTCCCTATTACAACGTTGTGTGGACATGGAGGCCATTAAATGAGTGTTATCCACATTTTTAGCTCTCATTTCCTTGATTTACTACTCTATGATTACTGTCAGATAAAATAAAATCGCTAGATGCAGACGACGTTTAAACGTCACCGGTGACAAGAGAAGCTATTGAATGCTTGCAAGTGATTGACAAGGAAATTAGTAATCAATTTAGTTTCTTTGTTATATCGATAGTGTTTTAACTAGGGTTTTAATGGAAACCAACACTAAACCTTAAAATAATGAGAAAGCTGGTCTATCAACCTTTGCTTCAGCTGTTGATTGCGGTTCATCGTCACAAGCCCTTCCTTGGTTAGATTACAAAGATTTTTCAAAGGTTTACTAAATTAACAAAGAGGAAATTACCTGATGAGATTTAAGATATGCCTAGACTACATGATAATTATGACGAAAAAATCTCCATATAACATGAAACTTAAGTTTAAAAAATAGCATAGTTTGCTCCTGCTAACAGCTCTTGTATTAGTCCTTGCAAGAACAAAGCTACTATAGCCAACTTGTTACATAGCCAAGTAGGTCTACATGTTATTTTTACTTTACAAATTTCAACGTGTTTAAACTAAAAGCCGATTTCAGGATAAGTTGCTGAATACTGTTTTCTGTACCAACTAGGTTGAAGCACAATTTGCCCTATGCATAATGACAATAAAGGACGATTTCTTGACATTGAAAAGTGTTATTCATAGAACAAGTAACTTATCACTATGGATAAAAGTTTTTAACATTAAAAGTAAAGAAAGGCAATAAACTCCAATTTCAATAGACTAGGCTCTGTAACACAAAAAAGTATTTTTAAATAATCGTTTTACAGTTTAAGTGGTCTTAATTGTTGATATAAGACACAAGATTGCTTAATTAAGATTAATTAATTATTTGCTTAAGATTGTTTAGTTGTTGTTTAAATGAATCTATATTAAAGAAATAAAATGAGCTTTTAAAATATAGTTTGGTTGTATGTCCTTTGAACTTAATGAAATTTACATATAAGATGCTTAAAAATAATGCAATATTTAAAAATAAGTACTAAATATGATGGGACACCCAACTATTAGATGCTGTTGTTGTAATGTTAGGTTTATAATGCCAACAAATTAAATAAAATCTAGGAATAATTTGTTTTCCAAGTAATGTTAGATACAATACTGACATTTCTTGTTTAAATGTTTGTTCAATAAACATGTTGTTGCAATTAATTTTACATTTACCTAATGTGTGTGGAATAAAAAGTAACGTCTTTGGGAAAGTAGCTAAAATTGTAGCTGTAGCTACATTTCATTGTAGCTGTAGTTGTAGCTAGCTACTTTTTCGGAGTTGTAGCTAGCTACTTTTTCGGAACTGTAGCTGTAGCTGTAGCTAAGCTACTTTTTTGGAAATGTAGCAGTAGTTGTAGCTAGCTACATTTTAAAAGTAGCTTCCCCAACACTGCCTAATCATATGAATCTGATTGAGGGTAAGAAATAATTTAATAATGAGGGATTAAAAGTTGACAAACTTTAAAGATAAATTAATTTTAATATTCATAGTTTTTTTCTTTTTTTCATGTTGCTAGGCTCTAGCCCGGGGTTGTTTTTCACATATCTCAGGCTTGACCTACGGTTTGTGGCATTATAACTTAGATCAAATCCATTATTGATTTTGTGGGGGAGCGAGCTGGTCTAGTGGTTAGAGCGCGGGACTTCTGGTACAAGAGGTCCCGGGTTGAAATCCCGCCCAATCACCAATGGTTTTTATCTATGTGATAATGCCGCAACCCATAGGTCTAGCCTGAAGTAATGTGAATAACAATCCCAGGCTCATGCATAGCGTCCTGGGGAAAAAAAATTGATTTTGCGGATTTGAACCTGGGACATCAGGGACCAAAGTCCCGCGTTCTACCACTAAACCAGCTTGCTCCTACAACAACACTGTTGGTTGTGGAAGATGTCAAAGGTAATAAAGTTAAAAACTCACTAAACAATTTCTGTGTTAGCCAGGTGTATTGGCTGGGCGACCTGAACTACAGGATAACGGAGTTGGAGCCTAACATAGTGAAGAAGTATATAGAGCAGCAGAACTACCGACCAGTGTTGGAGTACGACCAGTTACGGCGACAACATCGGGAGAAGGCGGTGTTTGTTGGATACACGGAGGGAGACATTACCTTCAGGCCTACGTACAAGTATGACCCCGGCAGTGACGACTGGGACTCTAGGTGAGATGCTGACTACATTTGTTTGTTGCTATCTCCCACTAAACATAGTATATGGAGAAAGTATTGTTTACATCAACATTTTCAAGTTTGAGTTTTGGGTGGATGTATCCGTTTTTGGAAAAAGTGGTTTTCAATGTCTGTGTCTATGTGTACACAGAGCTTAAGACAACACATGGTCAGATTTTGGTGAAATTTGGTAAGTCGTAAGTTTTGTACAGGCTTCTAGGCGGTTTTTCATTTTCTGGAAATTTAGATTTTCAATGGTGTTCTTCTTATAAAAACCAATAAAATATGGGAAAATTTGATTTTTATTAAGATTCATAGCAGTTATTGTATGTTTAGGCAACCTTACTCTAAACATAACTTCTGTACCAGTAGTCATATATTTAGTAGATATTTAGTTTTTTCCAAGTTTTTAACAGTTAATACACAAAATATACCTAAATTAATAATTAAAACTTAAATTGACTGTTTGAAACCAATTTACTACTTTTCCTTCAAGATAAATAAACGTCAATCATGTTTTTCCTGGTAAATTTCCAATAAAAATCCTAATCAAAAATGAATATGGTCAAATTAAAAAAAAAGTTCTCTGTTTCACTTATAGTGAGAAGAATCGAGCGCCAGCATGGTGTGATCGAGTGCTATGGAAGGGGGAAGGAATCAGACAGATTGAGTACCGCAGTCATCCAGTGTTAAGGATAAGTGACCACAAGCCTGTCAGCGCAGTCTTCTCATCAGACGTAAGTTATAGGGGACAATGAGATAAGTTCATTATATTTAGTTTATCAAACACCTAATTGGCAAATATTTTTGAAGAAGTTTCAAGCCTCAAGCTATTTCAAATAGATTTTTTTTTCTATAATGTGTGAGCTATGATTGCATGCGTAGTGCATACCTATTTTAAAAACCCCTCACTTAAGCTCCGGTTGTAATTTTAAAATTTATTTAACAGATTTAATTTCAATACAAAAGTAATTTATTTGCTTCTAAAGTATACTATTTGTACCATTCAAAATATATAGTTAAAAATTCTTTTTTACTCGTGTAGGTTAGGGTGATTGATGCTGTCAAGTTTCGCAAGATCCACGAGGACGTCATGAAGAAGTTGGACAAACTGGAGAACGAGTTTCTACCTCAAGTCATGGTCGACAACACGGAGATCATATTTGACACTTTGCGATTCCTCGAGGCACAGACTAGGGAGCTCATCATTGCCAACACAGGCCAGGTTGGATCTTAGACCACATCTTACATTGTACACACTCGGAAAATACAGTTGGTTAGTGATTACAATTAGTTGAGAACAGCTGTTTATGTCTTTAAAGTAGCCGTTGGTTGCAGTTCAGTTTTAAGAGTTTAAAAGTTTCACATAACAGCATTGTTTACTTAAATTTTAAATACTCACCATAGTGTGTGTCCCTGTCTCAAGAATTGAAAATTGTCACTTAAGGTCCAGCCTAATGACACATTATTAGCATCCTATTTTGTTTTTAAGACAAGGATTAAAACTTTGAATGGTTTTATCTGAAAAAACTATAATTTTTTGTGCACTGATCAAATATTTCTATTCTACGTTCATCTTTTGGGACCAAACCAAATTTGTTGGTTAATCAATCTTATTGTTTTCTTAAATTACAGGTTCCAGTACAGTTTGAGTTTATCAAGAAGCTTGATGACTCCAATTATTGCAAAGAGTGGCTCAATATCGAACCTAACTCCGGATTCATCATGCCAGGTGATCAATACTATTAGTCTAGTAGAAGTGGTTTTGTTTTGATGCAAATTTTGAAACAATTGTTAAGCATGTACATAATTACTGTAACTAATAAATGATACTGAAATACAAGTCTCAAATGTACAACATCAAACCATCTCATCTTAATGTGATAACACTATAAAGCCACTTCCTTCAATGATTCAATGTGATACATTTGACGATATCGATAATAATCCTGTAGATTTGCCAGTGTTTTTATGTATCTCTCTTCTCTACTTTCGTTGATTTTAAATTCTAAGATGTTTATGGTAAATATTGTAGATTTATAATCAAATAGTCCACACACAGGATTTTTCTTTGTGGAAACTACATTTCCTGAAAATTGTTATTTGTAAATGAATGTATGAATATGTTTTGTGGGGACAATTTTAAAACAACTTGATTTAATAACAGGAGAGAAATGTGACATAAGACTGGAGGTTTATGTAGACAAGAAATCAGCCTGCAAAATGAACTCGGGACAAGATCAGCTGTACGACATTCTGGTACTGCACCTAGAGGGGGGGAAGGATATCTTCATAACTGTCACTGGTAGGTTATAACTATAAACAAAATAAATTAGTCGAGAAATTTTGTTACAAAGATTTGTATTTGATCGTTTGAATACCTGCAAGTAATCTTTGACATAATACCATAACATTACCACCTCCTTATGCAGTTAATTAAACCGTTTACATAAACGGTAAACCACAGGTAAATTTTTTTTATATATTAAAAGGTTTGCTTTTAATCAGTGGAACAACTTCTCATACTTTGAAGGCTTTTAAGTCAACGATAAAATATGGAATGAGTTCTTTGAAGAAGAAGAATTCTGTGCCTTAACAAACCTGGATGGAGGCAAGAAAAGATTCTTCTAAAACGTAGTGAACTTGGTACCATCTCAAAGCAGATTATGTTTGAACATTATTCGATGAAAAATATTTTGAATTGAAAAGCTAACCATCGTAAAGCAAAAAAAGAGGAATATCTTTATGTGTAGATTGACACAATTTTATTCCTTAAAAGAAACAATACAAAATAAACAAGTACAACTAAAATTTTAAAACTAAAATGTTAACTAAAATTTTGAGATAAAAATGGACATATTGTGTCGGAGAAGTTTCTTAACTCAACTCAATGGTTTATATATATATTCCATCCTAAGTATGCGTTTTCCTGTTTAAAGGAACATATGAAAGAAGCTGTTTCGGATCCTCCATCGAAGCGCTGGTACACATGAATGTTCCAGTTCGGGAGATTCCTGCAGGAAAAATCATTGAGTTGGTAAGCTTTTATCGAATGACTGTGGAAAAAACTAATTGTCATCACTCTATTAAGTATAAAAAGTTGATCTAATGTTTTTCTTTAATGTTACTGGACAGTTTGAAAGCAGAGTAAGGGCCCAAAATTGTTAGTATTTATTTTGTCCTAGGACACTAGGCACGAGCAAGGGATTGTTTTTCGCATTACTTCAGGCTATATCTAGGGGTTGCGGCATTATCACTTAGATAAAATTCAATGGTGATTTGGCAGGATTTGAACCTGGGACCACAGGGACCAAAGTCCTGTGCTCTAACTACTAGACCAGCTCGCTCCCCCAAAATTGTTAGTATTGGCTAGTGTCTTTGTAGTATTCTAAATTTTAAATTTCCAAAGTTTGTGACTATACTACAAAAAAAGTAGAGCACTAAAATGTTGTATGAACATTACTCACAATTAAAATAACCACAATTCTCATCTATATGGACCAGCTGTAGCCAATTTTTTATTAAAAAAGAATGTAGTTGTGTGAGCCAGTCACACAATGCGCTAGTGTCAAAAATTCTATATTATATCTTATTTTTTATTGCTGACCAGGTTGATGGGTCATAACAGTTGCTGTAACTCATCATTAAGTCATTAAGTTTGACTTGGTTAAAAAGATAGTGTACTCAGCAGAATTTAGTAATTTAGATCAGCGCAATCTGTAGGTGGCTCGCATCAACTACGACAATTTTTATAAAAAAGCTGGCTACAAATTTAACATGGGGATGGAATGTCTACTTTAAATCATATTGTATTTAAAGGCCCATTCTTTGCCTTAAAATTTGCTTATGATTCTGCCCTGCCTTCTAAGTTACCGTCACCGTGTCAAGCTTATAAAAAGTATTTTATTGACTTCTTCGTGCAACATCGGTAAAAAGTTTAACTGCAGAGTAACTTTGCAAGCAATACATTGTAACTGCTTAGTATAAATTTAACTCAAATAAAATTTCTGTGATTGGAAATCTCAGCAACAGTCCTTTTATCAAAACCAGGTTTTGGACCGTTCCCTTGCAAAAAGTAAAAAAATGCCACTGGCTTAAAAACACACAAAACAAACAAAAAATAAAAACACCAACTTAACATCACTAACATTAACTTTAGACAAATTATTTTTCCTGTTCTATTTTTTAATTCAACTAATTACTTATAAATATTTTGGAATTTGGCGAGAAATTCAACCAAGATTCAAGTCAATTTGACACTGACTTCCATTACCCTTTGCAATTGTATTCCAGCTTCTGGTCTCGGTAGCGTTAATTCTTTGTTTTCATTCAGGAGAACAATAAGGGTGAAGGCCTGAGTGGGTCGCCTCCGTACATGGTGCCTAAGGAGATCTGGTACCTGGTTGACCATTTGTATCGGCACGCCTTGAAGACACAGCACCTGTTTGAAAACCCGGGGCTTCACAGCGAGCTGATACAGATCAGAAATTGGCTTGATGTGAGCCCAAACGATCCGTTACGTATCCTTTTGTAATGCTGTTGATTGTTTAGACCAAGTTATTGGTGCTTTTGTCATAATTTCCATCTTATAATTCTAAAATCTGAAATTGGCAAGTGTTCATCATGATTCATTGTAGCTTCTTTAATTAAAATATGAGACGCATTTTTTTCTGACAGTAAAGAGAAAAGTAGGCCTATTTCTAATATATTATCAATCCTGGAGGTAACGATGATTAAAGAGGAAAGATTTTATTACTGCCTCCTCTATATGATACAAATATTGAGGTGTTCTTATCGCCATTTCAGAATATAGTATTTAAAGTATTAAAGAAAAATATTTAATACAAAAATAATATATAACATAACAATACTAGGGCTAGAATAAAAAATTTGAAAATATAAAAAAATGAAATATTGATGCCCTTCCATACTTGAGCTTTGTTCACAAGGGCATTGGCAGCTCCCCGAACTATAATCAGACAATGTGTTAATATCCAATATGTACAGCTTTTTCACAACTTTATAGGTAGTCAACAGAGCTTTTATTAATTCTGTATGATTGAAATGACTCACACAGTTATGACTTAAGGACCTTAACACATTGATCAGCTGGAAGTGTACACTCTGTCGCAGAGGCTCTATTGTTGCTGTTAGAGTCAACGGCAGAACCCATCATTCCATACAACTTACAAAATGGCTGCTTGGGCGCATCATCCAACTACCTCGCGTGCAAACAGGTAGATTGGTTTTTCAAAAGGTTGTGTTCATTTCAGCGATTTTACGTTTTTGTAAGGAAACAGCCCATTCCCTGGTCTTCAAAGTATTTGATTTTGACCTGTAAGAAACCAACAACAATAGTACTACGATAATTGGTTAATGTGTTATCGAACTAAATTTTGTTTTAAAGGAAAGCTCGGTAACCTCTACGCTACTACGTCTGGTTTGGGAAAAACGACAAGTAGTGATCCCTTATCACTAGCCTCTACATGTGAAATGATTCGGTCACTCTCCAATGTGTCCAATTCCTTGTTCATTTGGTCAATTAAAGCATGTGATATATTTTGTTCCTCAGTAAAAATAGGTTTTGTGCCGTTTCGAAGCTTTAATAACACTTTGAAGTCCGAAACGCATCCAATTTTCTCTTAGAAAATGTTGGAAAAAAACTTGAACCCTCAGCAGTCTAGATTCTTTTGATTTGAGAAATTCGGGTGCTTTGATTTGTGTCGTTATTCAATTTCTTCACTTGGATTCCCATGGCTCTATCCATTGACGTCCCAAGAGAGCTTCATGTCCTGTTGGAACAACGTGGAGTTCATATTTGACGTATCCACAGTAAGAAAAATTTATTTTAACTCTGATACTTTCTACTCTAATATTGTGTATTAAATTTACTCACTTAAAAAAATAAAATAACTGTTGTGACCTCAGCTATAAAATATTGGATGTTTCAGTTTGTGATGCAGTTACCAGACACCAGTAAAAATGTCTTCCTCTACCTTTGCTTTTTTCTGCAAGAACTTCTCTCACATTCAAGTGAAAACCAACTTGATGGAAAAACATTAGGTAAGTGCTGTTCAGTTTTAAAATTAATATATTGTCTCTACGTTATTTACATTATTAGATTTACTCCTGCTTAACAGCAGGTTGAGAAAGCATTAGACAAGGCTGCAGATTTTAAATATAACATAGACCCTTTCTAATAGAATCCAATTTGTTAAACTTATTCCTGTAAAATCAAAATGTTGTAGCATGGGTTTATTAAAAAATCAACAGTCCTTAAGAGTAAAAAACAGTTTTTGCCAAATAGCCGAGTAATCTATCCATCTATCTATACTATTATAAAATTGAGGTGGTGTCTGTCTGTCCGGCTGCCACGACTGAAATACTGAACCAATAATGCCCAAATTAAGCACAAAGATTGTCCACATACCTAGGAATGTCATAGGACTATTCACGTACCTCTCTGGCTACGCCCCTTGGATGTCCAAAGATTTGAGGTTAGGTTTTCAACAGTATTAATTGGTCTCCATGGAAGCATGAGAAAATTAACAAACTTTGTTTACCTTTGCGTTGACATTTCAATGTAAAACAGTCAGAACTGCTAAATGCTTATTTCACAATTTCAGACAGTTGACCCAAACAAATTTAGGTTTATTTATGGCTTTAGTTATGAAAATTATGTTATTGATATATTTTAATGTAAACTGTAAACAGTAGGACAGTTACAGTGTAGGTCCTATTTTTTTGTAAAAATTTGGTGGCTCTCTGTTCATAAATTCAATCTACTTAACAAGTCTTTGGATTAGGTGGTATGGTACATCATCCTGTTGCGAAGTACAGCAGCCACAGCAGCTAGTTATAAATAAAGTGATAAAATAAAAATGGTTGTTTGCACTTTTTTGCCATACAAACCAATCAATATTTACCTCCTGAAATTTTACCTCGGAATTTTAAAACCTGATATAATAGGTCAGTATCTAATCTGATATAGGCCTATTGTAATCCAGATTATGTAGGTTATCTTTGTGCAGAATTTTAGGCTACTTTCTCCAGAGGTTTTTGTATGATGGAAAGACAAATACACACCTAATTTTTACATATGTTTGAAGGAGCTCGTAACTAACCTTAAAATGAAAGACAGATTTGGCCACACCAACTTATTTATTTGTTATCTATTAAATTTCTTAATCACTTACATCTGTTCCAGCGACCTTGTTTGGGGCTATATTCATGCGTGAGCCTCCTCGAAGTAGAAATGTCGGCTCCTCTCGGTCAAAATCCAACCAACAAGAGGCCGATCGCAAGAAGGCTAATTTTGTTTACCATTTTCTTGTCAATGACACTAGTGAACTGGTTATGGGATGCTCGTAAATATTTTTAACCTAAAAATGTATGGTACCGGTATTAACGCATTTCGTTACCCACAAAAGCATTTTGAGATTTTCCCAAAAACATTTTGGAGTTTCAAGAGTTTTGAGATATCTGCTAAAGCGTTTTGGGAAAGGCCTATCAGAAAGCATTTTGAGATATTCGTAAACAGTTTTAAAGATATCCGAATAAGCATTTTTTCATTCATAACAGCATTAAATAATTAGATTATCCTAACAAAATCATTCTTTAACAATGATTAATACCTACTAGACATCATCTGAGTTTGTAGTTTATTTCGTTATTTACTTTTGGGTTTGTGTTTTATTTTTAACTGTTACCAGAGGTAAAAAATGGCAGATGTTCCATAACATTTAGACAGCCTGAAATTTATTTATAAAATAAGTTTTATGGCTTGAGTCGGAAATGTAAAGGTTAAGTTGAACTTCTTACATGATCAGAAGATGTTATACTGTAGTTACTGTTATAACTACAATATTACTGTTAAGAAGACGATTAGAAAATTGTTTTCTGAAGTTGTGTTCCTATAGTTGATGGTGCAAAATGCTAAAAGGTGTTTTTCTTTTGTTTAGAGATTTTTCAATCAAAGATGTTGTTAAATTTGTAATATTTACATACCAAATTAAAACATTCTTGTGGAATATTAATATTATCTCTCAAATACTAGCAATTTTTATGGTAATGTCAAATGCTAAATTTTGTTATTGTTGGAATCAATGATTTTGGTGGATGATGAATCTATTTTGCTACCACCAAATTTTATATACACTTACTTACAGGTAATATTTCACTGATTATTTGCAACATAACATCTAACACAATAAAAACCATCTAAACATTTCATTTAATTTTTAAACTCAAATACAATTAAGGTGAAATAAACTTTTGATCTTAAAAAGCTCATATTTTTTAGTCTAACATGATATTTTGTAAAATACGGCTCTGATGATATTTGTATAGAACGTAATTTGCTTTACTTATTTTAGTGTTTGTGTTTGAATATTTTAGTCAAATGTATTAATATATGATAGCATATTATTAGAGTAACACACATTGTGTAAATTTAGATATACGTAAAAGCTTGTAATATGAAAGATGTTTGACTCTTTTATTTAGACTGACGGGTTTATCATAGTGTTTGTCAGGGATTTTGTTTATTTATTTAAGAAATTATAAATATCCAATATACATATGTTTATGCATATGAATATAGTAGAGATGTGGTTCTAATTTTTGGACTGACAGGTATAAATGTATGTTTTCTTAGGGGGTTTAGTTAATATTGTTTCCGTGTACAATTGTTTATAACTGCCTACTTTTATGAAATGAAGTATTTTCGGGATGCCAAAATTTTACTATTTAAAGAGTTTGAGAATATTACATTTCTTGGAAGGACGTATGTTTTAGCATAGACAATTAGAATTATGTATAGACCGACAGCATTGCTGCCGTTAGCATAAGTTCTGGCGTCCAATGCTAGGAGCGTCGGTGGATGCCAGAACTTATGCTAATCGTAGCATTGCTGTCGGTCAATATTTAATTCTATTTGTCTATGGTTTTAGTTAGCTTACATGAGAAAATTTGTCTACTAGCTTCTAGATGTACAAAACATTTACACAACATTTGTTTATTTATATTTTATCCTAGTGTAGGATTTCTTTAGAGAGTCGATTGAAGAGAAGTCAGTTAAAATATCCTAAACTGTAGCAATGCACGATTAGCAACAGTGTGGTTACCATCGGAAGTAATACTAAATCAGTGATGGTAAATGGAATGTGCAACTAGACAATGTCCAATAATAACCAAAGTAGGGAAAACTGTATGTTATAGTACATTGTTAGTTTTAACCAGGAATGGACGGGATTGTTCTTTCAGTTCGGTGCAGGACGAGAAGGGATTTTTATTTACCTCGTGATTTTCAAAATTGCATTTTTCTTCCTGTGTAACAAGTGCGTTCTAAAAAACTTAAGAAATATTCGTGCAAATATCAATAACGACGAAGAAAATCAATTTCAGTCATAATTGCACTGTTGTAAAAACCAACAATGGTTAAAAATACACAGGTAAAAAGAGTGTAATGTGTACAGATGAACATACAATCTCATTATGATTATCCATGATCCATGATCCATGATATCCATGATGGCACTTATGTTATTTTCTCCATAGACAAGATGCGTTATTGTAAGCGCATAGATAAGCTTATAGTTTTTGGATATAACGAGAAATATTCCCGGTCCGAGAAAATCCCTATTTAATTCGAATGTAACTCCGCCAAACAATTGCAGATATATTTTATACAAATTTTCCCAAATTTCAGGACTTGTTCATCCTTTTCTCATTAATCTACTTTCTGAAAAAGCCCTACACTAAGACAAAATATCAGTACTATCCTGTGTCTTTTATGGGTATCTTTATGTCTTGACTATAATTTTCTGATGTAAGCTAGCGGAACTCTATTCTTAAAAAAACACTCCTTAATCAGCCTTAGAGCTTTTCCTCGAAATAGAACTTAATTGCAAGTTTACAAATTTTCTTATGAACATTGTTAAAGCTACAATCAAATCTCTACCAGTTCTGTAGAATGTAAGCCAATAGAGTAGCTTAATCTAACATACTGTAATCTTTAGCTAAGCTTGATGCATACGTTCTAGTCTTCAAAGCTTTCTGGTTGTTGTCAGCTTGCTAACAAAATTTACTAGCGCCATATAAAAATAATCCTGGTACAGTCAAACCTTGGTGGTACCAATCTGAAGGGAATCGACAATTGAATTACATCAAATAATTTGTTACTTTGATGTACCTATTATTGTGGTTTTTATGTTCGTAAACCGTGGGAATTTATGTTTGTCAAACTTAATTATTCTCAGGTTTAAACTAGCCCTGTTTGTTATATAGAAGTTCCATTGATACATATGTGTTGGTTTTGGCGTATTTCCCATATAGGGAATAAGCTATTACCGTAGGTCTCATGGTAAGACCTAGACCCGGGACCGATTTACTTTTAGTTTTGAGGTTCCCACAGGCCAAAAACACCCTCCTGTGTGTGAGGTGTCCGTTAGTACGATAAGTTGAGCAAAAATGATCCTATTTTGATTAAATTTGGTACAAACGTGTAAACCTACGTTTATTCAAACGAGTTTGGGAACCAGCATGATCCGACTATAGGAACGGGGGTTTATGGGGGTTTTTATGGGATAAAAATTAATTTTTCCCGTTTTTGACTCTAAAAAATTCACAATTTCTTTCAGATCATTTTGTAGAGCTTAAAAAAAATAATTTTGTATATTGAAGCGTCGTTATATGCCCAACGGTTACGGAGATAATTAAAAAAACTTTAAATTTTAAATTCACATGTTATTCTTATGGAGAATAAACTAACTGTTGTAGTTTGCTTGTTTATGGACATATTTTTATCAAATTAGGCAATTATATGGTTTATTTCATACTAAGCTATCAACATTTTAATAAAACACACCTCAATACCTTCCCTGTAGCAGAAAACCTAGGTACTCATTAAAATTAATGTTACAGTATTTAAACAGGAAATAAATCTCACAATTTCAGGGAATATTTGAGTAGAAATCCAACCAGGTAAATGGAAATTCGCTTAGTCTGCAGGTTTGCTGCGGCGAGGGTATTTATTTTTTACATTCATTTCACAGAAATAAATTTATTTATTTTGGTGTTATAAAATTTGTCTGCATTGAGGTTTCACATCAGCCTTATTTGCTTTGAAGATGTGAAAATCACATTGGATGTTACAGAAAGTTGAAGGGGGTACAAGATGTTATATTAGGAATTTCTTATATGTGTATTGTTATCTACCAAGGTTTGACTATAAAACATCCTTCATCACACTCATAGTACAAAAACATACATAATAGCTTCAAAGTATAATAGAAATACTCATAGTAGTTAGTAGGAGATCTCGTTAATAAAATTAAGTAATTTATTTAATCTTTAGTAAATTTCTGTAGTAACTATAGTGGAAGCTCATTAACTTATGAAGATATGAACTGAAATTTTCAAATTTTAATCATTATTGGTTAATTTTTTTGCTTTCACAAGCTGGACTCAATTTTTCATGTTCAGGTTTGATTGAATTGTTGATTATTTCTGTATGTCAGTTTTGGTTTGATCTGTCGATGTTTTTAATTTAATTTGTTGCACTGCATAAAACCCCTGGAAAAATACCACACTAAAATACTGCAGCAACGACGGTTTTCAATGCATTTATTACTCGACCATTTTTTTTCAAATACTGAACTAATTGAATGCTATTAAATTAAAAATATTATTTTGGGACAGTCAATAGATTTTTAATTTTGTAATATTTGTTAACTGGGTAATAAATAATATTATTAACATTAATAATTTTAATGTTATGAACGAGACACTAAAACTTAGCTATTCCATTTATAGTAATGTAACCTATCAAGTAAATTATTGTTAATACCAGCTTTGTAGTTATCCAAATTTTTGCTAATGCCGCAACTGCAACTAGTTTCAACTTTGACAGTCATCTTCCTGGAGGATGTCATTATCACTCCATAACTTCATTGTATCAAAATTAATAGCTATCGCATTCAGTTTTATTTTGTTCGTTACAAAGTTGTTTATCTTCAGAGTTTCTGTTGTCGAGGAAAAAATAATTAAATTCACATAATCGTTAAGATATGAGACTCCATTGTAGTTACTTAATAATCCATGTTTTTAATGAATAAATGGCACAGAACACTCTATGCACTATATAATAATTGTATTGATAAAATATAGTAAAATAGTAGAGCATAATATCATCAATGACTTGCCTCTGCATTAGGCCTATATTGAGCTTCTTCTAAATTTAATTGATTTAATTTAAAAAGTGTACAGGGTATTCTTCCTGTGTTGTACAAGGCAATTCATATACTGTATTTAATTTTTTGACGGTAATTAATCACTTTCATACTTTGGTTTTTGTTGGTAAATATTTTTGTATTCAATTGCTGGAACATAATATTATTTTTAATCAGACCCACAAATTTTTTAAATTACTTCGGAGATATTTAAAATATTTACACTTAGCTTTAACTGAATATTTGCCTGGAAGTTATAAAAATAAGTTAAAGTGTCCTTTATTATATTTTTATATGCCCACTTCATTTGTAAACATACTGTCTGCACTGTTGTATTGACACCTACCAAATGACACTAATAATTGTACATTGAGAATTTATTTAAAGATATATTTATATGTTTGTGTTGTATTTGCATTGTTTGTATCTGTTTATTGTAATATACAACTTTGTGATATTTTGAATATCCTTGAGCATGATTGATTCCTTGAATATTTCTAATATTGGTCACAAAAATGATAGTTGTAACCTTATGGGTTAGTTGAACAAGAAAACTAAATGCAAAGATGGGGATGCTTCTTTTGCCATTTTTACCGTAGGTATTTTACTTAACACCACAAAGGCCGGTAAGTAGGTGTTTTTGGTACGAGAATGATAGGGATTTCATGTGAGTACTAAACACATTCCTGTTTGAGAAGGATACAATACAATACTTTTCTACTTTACTACCAGCAACAAATATATCATTAATTGATACAGGATGCCACCTTGATGTGTATTAAAATCAGCTGGATTGGGGGTGAATTTACATTGTTTCACAAAGAAGTAATGAGTTTTTTTCAGTAGGCACTAAACCTAAACGAAGCTATAAAATACAATATTTAAGTTAAACACATTTTAATAGAATTTGAGTTTTTTACATAAGGTAACTTGTTTAAATATTTACACTTCTAGTGAAATGTGACTGTCCTAACATGTCTATCGAATATTTATTTATTGTATAGCTTGGTTAAGGTTTAAATTAGTGCCTGCCTACTGAAAAAGTCAATCTTTTTGAAACAGTGGTAAATTTTCTGACTCCAGTTGATTTTAATGACCCATTCTCTAAAGGACTTTCTGGTCTACAAAGAGTTCAGAAATCGATTGCTTACCGTGTAGTGTGGTGAACAATATATACAGTATACTGTGAATGCGTTGGGAGCATAGGGAAGTTGATAATAAGATATTACATAATGTGTACATTCACATTACATTAGATTCACACTTGAATAATACTGCCTGGACAAGTTATTTCACAGAAAATACTGAAATATATATTAAAAGATAACATGGAGTACAATAGGTACAACAATGAACTAATACAACTACAAGCTCAAACCAATTAACTAATACAACTGTATAAATTGAATTGTCGTACATTTGTAAAAAGTTCTGAAAAATGCTACGATAGTCGGGGTTACGGCCGACTAGAGCATTGAAAGGTCCCCTGAAATCCATCTATCAATGGGGATTTCCATGACCTTTTCCCCATTTCCATGACTTTCAATGACCAGCATTTTTTTCCTTGACTATACCTGACTTTCCAGAATGTGGACACCCTGTTATACATTTAAATGGGGTATAAAAAAGGTAAAAAGTTACAACAAACTTAAAAATACTTTATTTTACAATTTACAATTTAACAAATTTACAAAATTCCTTTTTACATCTTAGTCATTATCTCATTCTGTGGGAACACTCCTACCAATATAAACATTGAAGAAGTTAAATAGTTTTTAAAAAATAAACTGGAATTCTCATGAATTTGAAAACAAGATTGGTCTTCGTTGAGATAAGACAGAATAACAAACTTCTTAAGATTGGCACCAAAAAATTTGAAATAACAATGTCCATGAACTGTTTCAACAAACTGCAGATAAACATAACTATGATCAATTATTGATCAGTGAGGATGGAGTTAGTCTTACTAAATATAAAATTATTTACATAAAACACAATCAAATTTTAAATGCACATTTTATTCAAAATTTAAAACTATGGTTCCATAGCAAACTTAACGCAGTTTTAAAATGTTGGCCACTATACAAATTCTTTAGCCTATAGATTAAAAATGCACATAATAATTTTTAATATTAAATAGGAACGTACAATTGTTGTAATCCAACAATTTTAAATTGTAACAAAATTGCTACATGTTGGTAGGCTAATTTGGTTCTTAAAACAATGGATATGACTCACTAGACTCATTTTGAAGTATAACTTCTTTATTTAGCAATGTACGTTTTATTAAATTACCTGAAAGCACATAAAATACACTTATAATAATACTGTTTACTTACAAGACGATAAATACATATAAAAGATGGTAAGTGGTGATCGATTTCGATTGGACTCTCCAATCATCATCAGACCATACAGGCGAATGACAAGAATCAAAACAACATCCCTTATATACTATTGGCTACCAGAAGTACCGGCCAGTAAGTTTCTATAAGTACAACTGAAATCACAATTCACTTGTTCATTAATTAGCTTATTTCTATTTTAACATATTCCCTTGTGAATTTACAATCCTTCCCAAGCATTCATCACATTTCCTTTCATACAATTATTTAAAATACATACATTGTCTTCCATTTTCTGTAATGAGTGGCCATTTTGTAACAAGTGCCCATTTGATCTTTCCGGTTTGTTTTTTGTCCATGCAGAGACATGGTTTTTGAAACGTTTAACAAAGTTTACATTTTGTCCTATGTAAAGACTATCACAATCTTTACAATTAATTTAAAGACCCCCGAAGCATCAAATTTGTTATATTCTTCTATTTGCGGATGCAATACTTTACTCAAGGTGTTCTTAGTCCTGAAGGCTATTGATACTCAATATTTCTTAAATTTTTTAGCGATCCTTTGTCCTAATGGAGCAAAACCCGAATAAACATCAAATTTGATAAACTTGCAAAGAAGAATAAAGACAACAAAGATTTGGTAAGGACGAGTACAGGACACAATTTCCAGCTGAGAGTCATCAACCTTACAAACATTCAATTCAGCAAAGAAGAAACCAATACATTAAACTACAGAATGAAGCACAATTTCACAATGAAGAAGAAAGACAAAAACGAACTACTAGCCACTGAAGTTGAGTCAAACAAAGGTAAACGAAAAATCCCAACCCAAAATCAATCAAAGATGCAGACCATTATACCGTTTGGAAGTAAGTAACATCAAACGCTTTCACTAGCCAAGGACCCATAGATCTGAAAAAATGTAAAAATGAAGAACTGAAGACATCCAACAAAATAAAGAAGAAACTGGAAGAGACCAGCTCAATTGCAGTAAAAGCAAACAAAAGTAATGCCATATGTTATTAGGAAAAGAAGAATATAATAAAAAAGATTGAAGAATTTATCAAAGAAAATAACGTGGAAAGAGCTAATCAAGGACCCTACTCAGAGGTACCAAAAAGAGCTGTCCGATGTCAAGAAGAAGTGCACCAGAGTGATTCCCAAAGAATGTTGACAGAAGATGAACATCCTAAATTTAAAGCACCGGTGATTAAAGGGATCCCGAAAATACAAAAGAAGAATGTACCAATCAGACCCTTAGTTAACTTTGCCCCTGCCATCAATGTTTTGTAAATGTTAGCAAGTAAGCTCAGCAACGATCTAGAATAATAATATATTTACAATGTAAATAACAGTTATAAATTTGTTGTGTTGAACGTGTTAAGAAAGCACAAAACGAAAGTGATAAGAATCCTAGAAGTTTCTATAAGACAGTCAAACTATTTATTGGAGGATATATTCCCAATTCTTATGGTGTTAAGAAAAATGAAGAAATTGTCACTGAGAAATTCAAAGTGTTAGATATCTGGAAGGATTATTTTCAAGATTTATTACATGGAGATGAGGACACTGAGAGAGTGAATGCTCCAAAATAGATGAATGTTCAACCAAACATTGAAGCACCGACTGTAGAAGAAGTACAGGAAACTATTAAGAATATGAAAAAAAAAAACAAAGCCCCTGAAATGCAATAATAATCCCAATCCACAAAAAGGGTGATAAATGGAACCCAAATAACTACCGAGGAATATCATTACTAAGTACTTCCTATTAAGGTAATGTCAAAGATACTCCAGAAGAGACTTGAGGAATACACAGAGGAAATAATTGAAGAGCACCAGGCTGGTTTTCAAAGGGGCAGGTCTACAACAGATCAAATATATACATTCTTAAGGAAACAATAGTTAAATAATGGGATGTTGGTAAATCTTTCTATGGCCTATTTATCGATTTTAGCAAAGCGTATGATAGCATTCATAGGGAAAAAATTTGGGATAGAATGGAAAGTATTGGAATCCCATATAAACTAATAAAATTGGCTACTTTAAGTGTTAATGACTCTAAGAGCAAGGTTAAAATAGAAAATGACTACTCAACATCCTTTGACATAAAAACAGAAGTTGGGCAGGGAGATATTATTTTATCTACACTCTTCAATATAGCTCTTGAGGGAGCACTTAAAGAGCTGAAGAATGGCATAAGAATTGGAAGGAAGATAAGCGTGCTCGCCTTTGCAGATGATGTAGTACTGTTTGCAGAGACCAGAGAAGAACTCCAGGAAATGTTTGAAATCCTTAAAAGAGAAACAAGAGCAGTGGGCCTGAAAATAAATGACAACAAAACAAAACTTGTCAGATTTGGAAGGGGAGCAGAGAACGAGGAGAACATGACAGAAATAGAACAACAGTATGAACAAGTAGAGTCTATTAAATATTTAGGAGTTATTGTCAGCTCACTAAGTGAGGAACACATAGAAATAAAGCATAGAATAAACCTACCCAGTAGAAGTATGTATGCTCTAAACAAATTATTATCATCAAGATTATTGTCTCATCACACTAAACTTAAAATCTACAAAACTATCATAAGACCTGTCCTTCTTTATGGAGCTGAAATCTGGATTATGGATAAAAACACGGAGAAAAAATTTATTACTTTTGAAAATAAAGTCCTGCGCAAAATCTTTGGCCCTACTAAAGAAGGAGATGTGTGGAGAATTAAACATAATCAGGAACTAAGAGACCTGTCCAAAGAGCCAGATATAATTGCAGAGGCTAAACGCAGGAGGCTTTGCTGGACGGGCCACATCATTAGAAGAGAGGAAACTAGCACACTTTATCAAATATGGAAAAATGACCCACTGGGAAGGAGACCACGAGGGAGATCGAGGAAACGCTGGACGGATGAAGTAAAGAAAGTTATGGCCAGAATGGAAGTTATGAAGATACCGCACGAGACAGGGCGACGTGGAGGCAGTGTGTTGGTGAGGCTAAGTACCACTTAGGGTACAAATAGCCATGGGAGTAAGAGTAAGTAAGAACGTGTTAAGAACATAGATATAGAATAAAACAGTAGGTAAGTCTCATTTGATATTTCAAATCTGTACACCAACATACCTGTAACTGAAACTGTGTATCTTGTCAAATGTAGGCTTATACATAATGGATTAGAAAATGAATAAGTAATTCAGATTGTAAAACTGCTAACAACTGTTTTGAAAACAACAAGTTGTATGAACAAACAGATGGTTTGGCAATGGGAAGCCCACTTTTGGCAATTTTATCAGAAGTATTTTTACAACATCACGAAAAAGAAATATTAGAAAACTCAGTCATGATGTAAAGCTTTATGTTAAATATGTGGACGACATTCTTGTTATTTTCAGGCAAACCCAGGAGAAAGAGCACGATACAATGATGCAGATATTCAACAGTCAACACCCAAACCTCACGTTTTTAACAAATTCAAAGACAACAAAATCAACTTCCTGGAAGTAACAATGAAAAGAAAAGAATACAAGATAGACTTTGAAATCTACAGAAAACCAACGCAAACGGACACAATGATTAGTAACTGCTCTATTCATCCAACGACCCACAAGACTACAGCCTTCAGATTTATGTTGTACTGAGGTTTAATAATTCCACTTAATGAAGCCAGTAGGAGTAAGGAATTGAACACCATAAAGAAGATTGCGGCTAACGGATTTGAAGTAAAAACAAAAGAAGAAATCGCTAAAATACGAGAACAAAAAATTGAGAGCCAGAAAAAGTTAGGAGTTGGAAGAAATGAAAGAAAAAAACACCAGATATGCTACATTTAGTTACACGGGACCCAAGACACAAAGGACCCCTAAAAATTCAAGAAATATGGAATATCAATAGCCTTCAGAGCTTAGAACACCTTGAGTAAAGTATTGCATCCGCAAATAGAAGAATATAAAAAATTTGACGCTTCGGAAATTCTACAAAATAAATTGTAACGATTGTGATAGCTTTTACATAGGACAAAATGTAAACTTTGTTAAACGTTTCAAAAACCATGTCTCTGCATGGACAAAAAACAAACCGGAAAGATCAAATGAGCACTTGTTACGAAATGGCCACTCATTACAGAAAATGGAAGGCAATGTATGTATTTTAAATAATTGTATGAAAGGATATGTGATGAATGCTTGGGAAGAATTGTAAATTTACGAGGGAATATGTTAAAATAGAAATAAGCTAATTAATGAACAAGTGAATTGTGATTTCAGTTGTACTTATATAAACTTACTGGCCGGTTTTCTGGTAGCCAATGGTATATAGTAAGGAAGCGCCATTTTGATAATTGTCATTCGCCTGTATGGTCTGATGATGATTGGAGAGTCCAATCGAAATCGACCACCATTTACCATCTTTTATATTTATTTATCGTCTTGTGAGTAAACAGTACAAGTGTAAATATATTTGTAAGTCTATAGGCCTAAGTGTAATTTGGCGTATTTTTTAAGCTTTCATGTAATTTTGAAAACAACGCAAAACTTATCCTTGTTTGTTTGAACAGACTAATTTTTAAATAAAGTTTACTTACTTACGAGAGAAATTTTTTGTCTTAAGCCAATAGAAACCAAATTAAAGTCTACATAACATAACAATGATACTTAATCCTAAATATAGGACTTTTCAGGGATAGATTGATGAAGAACCGTGGTGACATTTTACTGTGCATTTAAAAATTTTTCCAGGTAAGCTATCCAAATTTCACCCACTTATCACACAATTTTGATAGAGGAAAAAATTAACACTTATTTTGTGATAGCGGTATTTTTGTACAGTTAATTTTTTTGTCGATACCAATGACTAGTGCCGATATTCGATACCGTATAATACTATAAAGTTTTGTTGGATGAAGATCAAGTTATTTTTGACAGAATAACAAAAATCATCAGCACCAAATGTACCATTGAAGCTTCATTAAGCCAACTAATCAGTATTTAACAGGGTTTATGAACTAGATGTTTACAACGGTGGGTAATTATTATACTATTTAGGCTTATATAAAGAAAATACTGCCATCACTCCTAAACTATTGGTTTATGTATCATTTTTACAATTTGTGCGGTAAAAAATACCAAATTACAAACTATTAAGTCAACCCCCATTTAAATAGTATCATTTTAATTTCTCCAATAACAAAAAAGGCTTGACTTCAACTACCTTCTAAGATTTTAGATATTTGAAAAATATGTAGTTTTCATCCACATTAAAAAACACATAAAACTCTTACGGTGTGTTTCCTAAAAATTTCAATAAAATAATACTTAAAATTATACATCAGTAATAAAAACAAACTTTACATATTTTCTGGAAATAAAAAAACATTAACATAAAAACAATTATTGCACTAACTGTACAGTTCTATCACGTTTGAGGATCCTATGAACGACTAGAGGTTTTACGAAGGCCTGAGAAACGAAGAACCAACTGCTGAAGTCCACCATTCTTTGGTCTGTTTGTTGATCACATCATGATGAATATGATCCACCACGTCTTCAGAGACCTCTGACGGTTTCCACTTTACGATAGTTTTCAAACACTCCACATGGTTGAGTCTAGTTAGGAGACAGATGTTCTTTACAATCACCTCTTGCATCCAAATTGGCGCTGGAAATTAAATCTATTATTAGAACAAAAAAATTCCTCTCCACAGAAAACCTGTAGACTAAGAGAATTTCAATTTGTCCGAATGGATTACTTTCTTTATACTTGACGAAATATTGTGTTTACACAGTGTCTCTTCTCTATGTTTTATTGGGTGAGGTTCATAAGGTCCAAATTTCACAAAGTCCAATGGTTAAAATATTAATAAACAGAGTGTTTCACAAGGTCCAATGGTTAAAATATTAATAAACAGAGCGTTTCACAAGGTCCAAATTTCATAAGGTTCAAAACTATGACATTCAAATAATCACCGTTTCACAATGTCCAAATTTCACAAAGTCCAATGTTAAAATATCAAATAAACAGAGCGTTTCACAAGGTCCAACGGTACAGTCTCGGCCAGAAGTCGCTGCAGAGCTTGCCGTGGTTCGGTGAGTAGGCACTACTATTGTGTTGTTCGTTACCGCGTGTCACAAAACATCATTGTGGGTCCGGAGATACGTTTAAAGAGTGTAAAATAGTGGTATTTACCCCCTCTACAGCAAACCTGCAGACTAATTGAATTTCCTTTTCCCTTATTTGATTTATACTAGAATATCTCCTTAAAATGATCACATTTATTCCCTATTAAAATAGCATTAGTTTAACAACAAGTACCGTACTTAGGTTTGCTGCAACAGGGAGGGTATTTTTTTTATGGTAATAGTTTAGTATAAAATGCAAGCATTTCCAAATTTCATCAAAGTATATTCATAAGCAAGCAAACCACAACAGTTTTTTTTAATTCTCCATAAGAATAACATGGTAATTTTAAATTTACAATAATTCGTAATTTTCTCTGTAACTATTTGGCGCATAACAACGCTTCAATATACTATTTTTTTTTTACTCTACAAAATGGTTTAGAAAGAAATTGCAAAATTCTTTGATTTTTCAGGGTCAAAAATGGGAAAACCCAATTTTTACCCCATGCAACTCTTCATAAACCACCATTCTCATAGTCCGAATTCAATCATTAAAATGCACGTATAATCAGTAGTTGAGCGTCGGCGGACGGTGCCTGCTATCTGACCGTGACAACCACTGTAGAGACTTCTGGCCCAGACTGTACCGTTGGACCTTGTGAAATTTGGACCTTGTGAAACGCTCTGTTTATTTGATATTTTAACATTGGGCTTTGTGAAATTTGGACATTATGAAACGCTCCCGTTTTATTCAGCCTACCTACACTTCTTTAAGATAACTTGTAGCTATCCTTTTTTTTCTATTGTTTAGAGAAATATTTTACTTAAAATCCAATCAGACAAATTCCAAATCCTGGCCTAGAGCCTTTCCCTGAACAAATTTTAAATTTCTCTAAACAAGTCATATTTATTTCTTACTAGCAGAGCACCCGTCCTTCGTACGGGGTTGGCATTTAAGTATAAAATGCTTATTGCAGTTATACTCAAGTTTGCAATGGGGGGAGGACACAGTTTGATAAAATTTGGTTCATAAATTTACGGTATGATATAGTATAACACATCTACCATTGCCATAATGTTCTACCATTGCACCTAAACAATAAAAAAATAAATTATCAAACATTCGCACAATATCACAAATTATTCATTAAATTAAAAACTCAAACCTAACTGTAAACAATCCTACTTTGACAGTTCTAATTGTGTATCACAGCTTTTTGTTGCTGCTTAGTTCAAATTAGCTGTTGTCATATATGCACAAACAAAATAATAATAGTGCTGCACCCTGTTGGAAAACCTTATAACTTTTTAATGCTATTGCATTGCATATTATAGAACCAACTTTTTTAGTTGAAACCGCTGACTAAATTCTTAAATTCCCTTTAAATATGAATACTCATAAGGCTAACATGGGGAACTACAGACCCACTGGGGCGGAGCCCGAAAGGATTTTTGAGATAAGGAATATGCCTAAATGTTAATTGGGAATGTGAGCTATCATCATGCCAAATTTCAGCCCAATCCGTCCAGTAGTTTATGCGTGATTGAGCAACACACAAACTTTCAGATTTATAATATTAGTAAGATTTATATTAGCCTATATCGATTTACAGAGTGCTTGGGTTTGCTGCTAAAAGGAAGAGAAAATGTGTTTGAAATGAAAACATTTAGTATGGAGTGAAAAAAAATAATTTGCCAAATTTGATCAAAGTATTTCCATAAACAAGCAAACTCCAATGGTTTTATTTTTCTCCATTAGAGTAACTTGGGAATTTTAAATAGTTTTTTTATTTACCAAAAAAGTCATTCAGAAAGTTCCAAATATCATAAGTAATGGGAAGTGTGTTCTAGTGCTGGGTCTCGTACAGTTTTGATTAACTCTACTGTATTGTTTGTTGACTATACTGTATTTCTCTACTTACTCCATTCATCAAGCAAGATATCTTCCAGGAGACTGAGGGTTCTTCTCAATTCAGTTTGAACCTTAGGACATAAAATGTCTTGTGGTCTTAACGCCGTACCTAAAAACAAACATGTTATAAGATAAATATACTCTGTCACCAGCTGCTGGGGTGGATTAAAGAAGTATCTTCTGTAAAGTAAAGGTCTCCATTGCTCCCATCATGGCCAAGCGAGCTAGTTCAAATCTTGCATTAGTGACGTCTTCTTTACTGACTTACAATACTAGCCTTCCACCCCTAGGCAATGCTTAGCCTTCTCAGCGACCAAAAACAATGTGAACAATGTGCTTGTGTGCATCTGCATTTTGTATATTCCTTGAAATTCCACACTTCCGCTTTTTTTTGTCTCAGTCACAGTGTGAAAAGAAACCTATGAGAATACAAATACTGCTTTATCTTATACCATTGAAGTCTCCTTGTTAAGCAAGCTAAAAATTGAAATTACAATCTATGTGTATGACACTATTGTATTTCTTAAAGAAATCTCAATAAAGAAAATTGATTGATTGAAGTCAAAGCTTATACTTAAGAGTTGTATAGTAGCAGTATTTTATTTATGGCCATGATATTAAAATTTAAAGAATTAGTGTCTTTAATGGAAGACGCACTTAAAGCCTAAAATTTGTAACCGGTTTACCATATTTTTTCCTTATTTTCCATGTCACAGCTGCTGGTTTAGGTCTAGGCTGTGTAAATACACATTAACTCCAACAACTTCAAACTAATTAAGACTGGACCCTTCTTGAATTACCATGTTTAGATTGGCCAGAAACAAACACAATATTTATTATTATGTATGACTGTAAATGGAGTGGAGGATAGCAAAAATGTGCGTGCTTATCTACTGTGATTGTAGAAACACCCATGATCACATCCACAATCGTGTTCTTCTTATTTACCTACCTCAAAAGAGAACTAACAGAACGTCGTTAATGAATTCTGCCACAAGCTATTGGCAATTATTCCAAATTTCCCGATCGCATTCAAAATTAATGAAATGTTGACGCAAATATACTTTTTGAAAAAAATTGAAATTACTAGATGTTTGTCTATATTATCTGAAACAAATGTAAAATTCACAGAATATTTATCGGTATAAAACTTACATTAAATTTATAGTTTCCCAGTCCGCTATTTTAGATCACATAAGTTTAGCTTTGTTCCCCATTCTCGGGGTCTCGTTGCAACGCACGATGTTGTGCCTGGGTCGCCCCATAGACACCATACTGGGGCTGTTCCGAGTGCACTTTGTCCTGTATTCGCTTTCTGAACTCGTGAGGACAATCGCACACTTATTCCGGGGACCATTCGGTCTGCTCAAACGAGCCTAGGTTGCCCGAATTCAACAGGAGGCGGCTATCTTTCTTCCCCAATTGATCGTTTGGATAAGGCCCTCGGGTACGATACGAGCGGTAACCTGAGCGGCACGTAAGTGGCAGTGGTGGCTACGATACAAGCGGCACATTTATAACCCTCATTAAAATTCCCCAGTTTTATGAGTCAGTTTAGTCGAAAATGGTAAACTATACTTACCTGCAAGACGTATTGCAACTATTGTTGCTATCTGACAACCTTAAAGAAAAACCTTAAACCTAACTTGGTCCCATACTTTTCTGGTGACTGAAGTGTTTTAAAACTTCCGTATCGCATGTTTGCTGCTGTTTCCCTGTAATTTTAAGCCAAACTGAAGCATGACTCACCTGAGCGGCGAGCGGCATTTTCGTGAAAATCGGTTTTGACTTGGAACCATGAGCGGCCATACATTCCGATTAGAGGGACTCTGGTGTAAATAAAATAAAAAACAGTGGCGATACCCCCTCTACTCCTACTGTAAAATACAGTTTTAATGTACTCACAGAGTATATTGACAGCATTAACTGCTTCGACGTCACTGCACTCTTCTCCTCCCTTCCACCAGCTCCTGACCTTGTCCAACAGCTCCTTATAAGGCCGGCCCAAGAACCATTCCGGGGGCTGGCGCTTGATCATCAACACAGCAGCTTTGTACACACCTGAAACAGCATTGATTGACATACAGCACATGAGTTTACAAGTTGTCTACTAGTAAAGCCGTTAGTTAAAGGTGACTTTGAGTTAGCTTTTGATGCAACAAATCTTCCGGAAATAGGTGTGCAACTGTTGAATATGTCCTAAGCAATAGGTTTTTCCACCATTCTTTTCAAAATGGAATTCATTTTTTTATTATTTATTTATTTGACATTATATTACATCAATTCTCTTGACAGGTCATTTGTCACAAAGTCTAATACTAAATTGATAAATCTAAATAATAAAATAGCTTAAAAATAAATAAAGCAATCAATATGCTACAAACTTAGAACTTGAGAGTTAATATCTTTCAAATATACACATCTTACAGATAGTCTTGAGTAATATACTAATAATACAAACAAAATAGTGGAATATTTCCCTATTACTTGGAAGAATATTCAGTTAAGGGAAAGTGTGATTTGAAAAGATTGTTTTGTTCTTTCAAAAGTTTCTGTTTCTTGTGCCAGTTTGGATTCTTTCCCATTCCATCCTCACAAAGAATCCTGTATTATAAATTTGTTAAACTAATAAAAATAGATAAGTTCAAGTAATTTAACCAGTTTCGATGCAATAGTCACCCTGTTGTTTGAATTGGTCTGGCTCTAGCTTTAGAAAGTAAGGAAGGCCATTAGGCACAAACCAATCACAATCTGTTCGTATAGTGGTACACATAGGTCATTGCTGTATTCTTTGCTGTTTGTATATTATTTTAATCTACTACTTTTTTACACGTAACACCTTTTGACAGTATGGAAAAATCAATCTTATGGGGTCCGCTCCCAAATCGTCCAAACAATAGACTCACACAGATCCACAGTGAAATGTGTCTCCTGAAAAAGGAACATTTATACTTTACGGTAAATAAAAGATTAATCATTTACCTTGTTGTTCAAGATGTTCCATGCACAAATTGAACAGCTTTTCTGGGTCTACAGTGTCTTCCTTGTATCTGTACTTAGTCATCATGAAACGTTGCAAATTTCGAATATGAACATTTGGTCCCACCTGGTTAAATTTTGGCGGACAAGTTAACTGCCGGATTATACAAAGCCTCAATGGATCATCTGGAACAAAACCAGTGAGACTGTTAACGATGTATTACATCATAGTTTGACCAAGTTAGCCAAAAGAGTAAATTGTTTGTAAGGAAATAAAAGCAAGACTGATGGGAAACAATTTATTGGGGATGGTAAAACAGTATCATCAATTCATCACTATTTTACTGTTCTACAAACGTTTATTAAACTGGCCGTTTCAGTTCAGTTCTTATAATTGAAAAGATTCACTTAACGGCATTGTTCACTTACTTAACAGCATTGGTTTTTACATAACAACACGGGTAACGGACTAGAGGTTCAAGGATTGAGAGAAAAGATGTAAAATGGTGCTTCAAACTTCAACTCATCAGCTGTTCCAACCAATTTAATTGTTAATGAGTGGTGCAAGTAGTGTTTGTACAATGATTCGTTGCATCACTATCAGTAGCAACGAGATGTTATAAACGAAAACATAACCTCCCTTGGAATATATGAGTACCGGTTAATTGTTAATAATTAAAACACTGTCGTAGGTAAAGTAGTGTACGCAACTCGCGTAAATAGTCTTAGGCTACCTTAAATTTCTACTTAAGTCGTTCAATACTATCTTTACGTGATCGATGTGAAAACTTCTAGGATTGACTGAGATTCAACCTTTGAGATTTTTAGAGTCAAATATAAATGCATTTGGCAAAAAGGTTCAAAGTATATCATACAATCATTTAACCAAAAGTAACTGTAAACCTAGATTAAAAACTGTATTAAAAGATAAATAAAGATAAAATTCATTAAAAAAAGAAAAATAATAAAATAAAATAACTAAAAAAACTAGAATCTTTAAGAATTGGGAAAAGGTTCAGCACCTCTCAAATGGAACAATAGCCTCTTTTTTTACAACTCAATTCAAAATTTATAAACACTGAAAATAAGTATTTTTTTACTGTTTACTGTTAAACTGTTAAGAATTATATTTATTTACATAACAGCATTGGTGAAATTCTCATGCCACGGGTAGGCTATAAGCCTAGAGTGTAAAAGTAGCTTACAGAAATTTTAAATAAACTATTTTTACTTAAGTAAAAACTTTATAAAGTCTCAAATTAAATTAATGATTTTCAACATACTTTAAAAAATTCCACACTTTTATTTACTTTATTTTAAATCCGTTCTGATTTATGATTCAATTTCAAACTGTTGTGTAGTCATAAAGCCACAGTGAGCACCTCATGATTGCAACAAGATCAGTGGATTTCTGACAAACGGTATCAACCTTAATCATCTCCTGAGGTTGTGAAACTGCAATAATTTTTACTATTGCGGCAATGGTTGGCAATTAATGGATTTTTTTTCAAAAGCAGAGACCCCTTGAGAATTGGGGGGCCGTGCTACTACAATATTTTTAGCATGCCTAAGGCCAGCTCTTGACTGGTGTTACTCTAATCATAGAAAACATTGATGATGTTACTTTGATTATAGGAAATGTTGGAGGTGATACTGCAATTTGATTATTTTTTATTCACTCCATTACAATGGATTTTAAATTTAAATGTAATGGAATAATGAACATAAAAAATTAACAGATCAGGATTGAAATATTTGCTGTGAATAAACGGGTCTTAGTTTGTTTTTAATTTTTTCCCAAAATGTTGTGAATTATTCCTCAACGTTTTACGATCCATGTCTTTGTAAAACAATGTCTACAAGTGATGAACATAAAATTTGTTATGTTCTAGTTTATTGATATCTATATCTAGTTTAAAATAATAGTTAGTGCAGCAACGCACGCCAGGTAACTGCTAGTTGTACATAAGGACAGATGTTCTAGGTTAGATCTGTAAAACAATAACTTACCAGAATAGAACTCAATGGGTTTTGGGGGTAACACAGAAGGCCATAATAGCAACATTGCATGAGCTACAACTAGAGAGCGTCGGGTGAAGCAGTAGAACATGTCGTACATCAACTTTCGCACCCTCGCTAAGAAACCGTAGTGTCGAGCCAGTATAGTGTAGATCATACCAATGGTTAGCCAGAATATTGCTTTCTGTAAAACATTAAAAAAATTGGTTGTAAACGCAGATTGTAAAGTTAAAAATTCTTCATAGAATACACTTCCTTAACAATTCTTCGTTTAAAACCACCCCAATTGCAACAAATCTGCAAACTAAGAGCGAATTCCATTTGTCTGGTTGGATTTCCACTAAAACATCTAAGATCTTCTAAAACATATAAGATGTATTACCTATTTAAATGATATAATGGTTAAAGAGTACTTAGGTTTGCTGCAACAGGGAAGAAAAAGTTTTTTTTTATTAATGGTGTATGAAATACTAAATTTGCCAAATCATGCAATTACGTTACTATGAAATGCTTGACTGGAAAAAGCTCAAAGCTTGCGAGCTTTTGGGAAAACTTAGACCAACTAAAAATTACACTACTCTCACACTCCTTCGTGCAAGGTGATCATGTTCTCTTTTTTATTTCTCATGATCGTGACAATAACAGTGATGATAAATTATATGAGTAAGTTTAGAAAAGGATGTTGATGTTGTTATGTGTAGGCTACTAAAAATGTACAACAAACTGAGTTTTTCTTGCAAACAGAGCAGTTCTCCTTCTGTAAAATTTCAAGCCATAGGGATTACTGATAATACCTGTCAAACATTAAGATAACAATTACTTTAAAACACGACTGGATTTGTTCATTAAAAAACCTTGTTTACATGCCACCAACAATGAAAAACACTAAAAAAAATTAGTAACAAACTATTACCGATTGTCTGAATTCCAGGATTGTATCAAGAAATGCCAATTCCATGAAATAAAGTCCCTCTTCCACAAATTTCCTCTTCTCTTCAGCGTTTTTTTCATTGGTAAATTTATCAATGATCATGTGCAAGAGAAGAAGAAGAGATTGAATTTTTGGGTGTACAAATGGACTTCTTTTATTTGGTAAAGTGACATTGTACACAGCTTTGTGCATCCAAGCCGCTGTTGGATTCTCTTCAGTATGTTCCGATGAAAATTTATGTAACAACACCAACACAGCTCTGTAACAATGTTTATTGCAATAAGAAAAAAAAAATTAGTTAATTTTTACACATATCTAAGCTAATAGGAATAGAAACCAATATCAAAACATATTATACACAGGGTTTGAGAGAGATCAAGAATGATTTATATCACGAAAATAACACCATTGGCACTGTATTTAGTTTTAAATGTCCCAAAATGCTTGAAATATCAGCCCAATTAGTTTGCTTATTTATATATTTTTAAAGAGATTTGTAGCTACTTTAAATCTTTTGTTTTCCTGGGCCTTGGGCCTGTGCTTAACTCTGTATGCATATTGTAATGTGCAAGCCCAAATATTTCTTACGATAGGCTACTATTTCTACAAATAAGCATCTAAACTGCCAGTGCAACTCCGAGGATCGTGGATCAGATCGGAAAACCCCCCACCACCGCTCCGTGCCAATGGCGTGACGTCAACCATTACCGCAACGATACAAAGTTGTGTCATGAGCCTTGATGGTGTAGTGGATAGCGCATCGGGCTAATAATCTGAAGGTGTCGAGTTCGAATCCCGCTTGTAGCACTAACTTTTTGTCAACACATTTTTTCATATCAGCAAGTTTGGTTGGTTTGGTTAGGTTATGACAGTTTAATTTAATAATTGAAAAATTATAAAATTGAATTTGAGACATTTATAATTTTATTTTTAGAACAGAGCTATTTTTTCAATTAGTAAACCTTCATTTGAGTTTATCATTATCAGCAAGTTTGGTTAGGTTATGACAGTTTAATTATATTTAATTTTAATTTAACCTACAAATTATACGTTTTGATAGTGATAGAGATAACAATTTTCCCCGAACAGTTAGATAGGCTATGCTGATGGATGAGCCGGTATGATTCGGAAGTGTAGACATGGTGCGGTGGTGCCACAACGCCTCTGATCCACGATCCTCGGAGTTGCACTGGCAGTCTAGACGCTAGTTTTCTACAATACTTACTTTAATATCACACGGAGACTGAAGCACTCTAGTTCGTTGGCGATTTTAACAATGTCTACAATGCTCTTTAACACTGTGGTAAACAAAGGTTGTAATATCTTCGTTGCCTTTTCAGTTTGGTTAGCTAAAAAAAAACAACAAACGATTAGTTCAATAGTTAAAAACAAAATTTAACCCTGGAAAAATTCCCATATAGGGAATAAGCTATTACTGCAGGTCTCATGGTAAGACCTAGACCCGGGACCGATTTACAAAAACATCATCCGTTAAAATTCATATATATAGCCAATATATATATAAATTATAGTAGTAAATAAAGTACAAAAGAGCACCCTGAATATTATATTTTTAGTTTTTATTTACTACTATAATGTAATATATCAGCAGCCCTATTACGTGAACACCTAAATTAATATATATGTGTCAGTTAGCACGATAACTTGAGTAAAAATAATCAGATTTTGATGAAATTTGGTACAAACAAGTAAATTTACTTTTATTCAAACGAGTTCACGAACCAGCATAATCGGACTATGCTAACAGGGGTATGGGGGGTTTTATGAGGTAAAAATAGATTTTTCCCATTTTTGACCCTAAAAACACACAATTTCATAATTTCTCTGCCAAATCATTTTGTAGAGCTTAAAAAGAAACAATTGTGTACATTCAAGCGTTGTTGTATGCCGAACGGTAACAGAGATAATTGAAAAAATGTTTAATTTAAAATTCCCATGTTATTCTTATGGATATTTATTCTCCACTAACTGTTGTAGTTTGCTTGTTTATGGATAAATTAAACCAAATTTTGGAAATTTTGTTTATTTAATACCAAGCTATCAACATTGCAATAAAAAACCCATCGATGTAGATTTTTGTGGGCTTCACTCACCTTTATTTTTGTTTGTGATGTCCGGGACTCGTCAAAACACATAAACACACATATATACAACACAAAATCGTCCACGGCATCAAGGTCCGACGTTTCGCGGAACTCAAAACAACGTTCCGCTTCTTCAGGGTATTAAAAAACTATTTTTAGCCCGCACGCGGGTCGAACGCCTAACCACGACTGCCGGATCAGCTGAGCTTGGAGGAGGACGGGCGGGGGCGGGGGTAGGTGCATTGTCCATTGTTGATAAGCCATTCACGCTCCTGGCCTTATCTCGTAGTTGTTCTAGTTCGTTTTTAACAATGTTTAAGTACACCGTACTGACATCTACCGATGGTCGTGAGAGTGACTCGTCTTCTATTGCCATGAAAAGCGACTCTGCCGTATTTCGTTTCCTCCAATCAGACTCCTTGTATAGAATTGCAGACGAACCCCAATCAACAATATGATTCGTTTCTACAACGTGCTCACATATCTTAGAGCCATACTTATCCTTGTTTTTGACTTTTTTATGTGTTCATTTATTCGAACTTTAACTGGTCTAGAAGTTTGGCCCACATAATTTCTGCCACAAGAACACGGGATTTTGTAGACAATGTCTTTTGTATTTTGTTGCTCATTAACGGGTTTTAGTTTTGTGACACGACTACGGATAGTATATTTATTTTTGAAGACAGTTCTTATATTGTATTTGGAATTCACCCGTCTCAATTTTTCAGAAACATTTTTAACGTATGGAATACATACAGTGGTCAGGGGTTTTATCTTGGTGCTAGGGTCTTCTGGAATGTTTACATACCCCCGCCCCCGCCCGTCCTCCTCCAAGCTCAGCTGATCCGGCAGTCGTGGTTAGGCGTTCGACCCGCGTGCGGGCTAAAAATAGTTTTTTAATACCCTGAAGAAGCGGAACGTTGTTTTGAGTTCCGTGAAACGTCGGACCTTGATGCCGTGGACGATTTTGTGTTGTATATATGTGTGTTTATGTGTTTTGACGAGTCCCGGACATCACAAACAAAAATAAAGGTGAGTGAAGCCCACATAAAATCTACATCAATAATAACACCTCGCCTAAAAGCATGTCGTTCAAAAACAGAATTGTATACCAGTATGGGCCTGAGACTTCTGACATGTTAAAAGATTTAGAAAAAACTTTGGAAAAGAACGCACTTAACAGCAACCATTTGACTTTCTTAATAAAATGTAGAAATGCAGATATTATCCCGAAAGGCATGAGATTAAAAGCCCCCATGAAAGATAGGTACTCTGATAAAATTACTAAAGATGCCAGTCTTAAACTATTAAAAAATAGAATAAACCAAATCAGACATGCAAAATTTATCAATGACTTGAAAGTTCAAAACTTAGTAGCCAGGTTAAAAGAAAGCATGAGTGGAGATGATTTAGATCCAATTTTAAACACATTCAATTCTAAAGCTAAGAGGATTTTTAATGCCAAAAGAAATAGTTTGAAGGACAAATTCAATAGATTATTTCGATTCCATCACTGCAATCTTACAGGCAGTGGAACATGTCACGACAGAGCTTTCGGAACACCTGACCTAGCCACTGATAAGCTAGTTATCAACCTGTCCGATAGAGCATTGGACGAGTCAGAGAAACAGGTTCTGAGTAAAGGTCTAAACTTTGGCATTGCTCCATCTAGAGTGCCAAATGTAAACATTGTGACGTCGTTGGAACCTGCAGCCTCATTTTTACCTGATCAAGTTAAACACTCATATAGATGTGACATAGTTAACTCACTAAAACACTCTGTAAATATAAAACCCAATTTATCAAAAAGTGAAAATGCTGCTTTGAAGAAGCTTAAGAATGATGACAATGTCGTTATACTGCCTTCAGATAAAGGTGGTGCAGTAGTTTTATTAAACAAAAACGAATACATGAGCAAAATAGCAGACATAATCAATGGTGGGCAGTATAAAGAACTTGATCGTGACCCGACAAATCTAGTTCAAAAAAAAAAAAAAAAAAGAATTAGCAAAAATAAAAAGTTATGTTACTGACCGAACTTTTTTTAAACTGAGCCCACAGTTCAGTAAAGCTCCGCATTTATATGGACTTCCAAAGATACATAAACCTGGCATCCCCCTAAGACCGATAGTTAGTACAATAGACTCACCATACTACCAACTTTCAAAATTTATTTTGCCCTTACTTACACCTTATTTTGGCCAATCTGACAGTTTTGTGAAAGATTCGAAGGATTTTGTTAACAAAATACACCATTTTAAACCTAGCAACAGTACTATATTGGTTAGCTTTGATGTAACCAACTTGTTTCCTAACGTTCCCATTGAACCATGCCTGGCGATAGTACGTGAAAAACTTGAAAATGACCTGATGCTGGAAGATAGAACCAAAATTCCTGTGTCTAATATAATGGAACTGTTGACAGTCTGCGTTAGGTCAAACTACTTTCTAGTAGAGAATAAATATTATGAACAAACTACAGGAATGGCAATGGGCGGCGTTTTAAGCCCGATCCTATCTAATATTTTCATGGAAAAGTTTGAACAGGACGCAATTGAATCATTTGAAACTAAGCCTAGAGTCTGGTTACGGTATGTTGATGATGTTTTCTGTATTTGGGAAGATTCAATGTCAGAACTATTAAAATTTAAAGAACACCTTAACAGTCAGGTAGAGTCCATACAATTTACTATAGAACTGGAAAAAGATGATAAATTACCGTTTTTAGACGTATTGGTCCAGAAACAGTCACAAGGTTGGATCACTAGTGTGTTCAGGAAACCTACTGCTACAGGCCAATACCTCAACTTTGCCTCCAATCACCCCACACACGTTAAGACAGGTCTAGCCATTGGTTTGATTAAACGGGCCGAATCCATCTGTAGTACTGAGGAAATTTTTAAAACAGAGCTGGAAAACATAAAAACACATCTCCAAAACTGTGGATACCCTCCCCTCGTTTTTGCTAAGGCCTTAAATAAGGTAAACATTCCAGAAGACCCTAGCACCAAGATAAAACCCCTGACCACTGTATGTATTCCATACGTTAAAAATGTTTCTGAAAAATTGAGACGGGTGAATTCCAAATACAATATAAGAACTGTCTTCAAAAATAAATATACTATCCGTAGTCGTGTCACAAAACTAAAACCCGTTAATGAGCAACAAAATACAAAAGACATTGTCTACAAAATCCCGTGTTCTTGTGGCAGAAATTATGTGGGCCAAACTTCTAGACCAGTTAAAGTTCGAATAAATGAACACATAAAAAAAGTCAAAAACAAGGATAAGTATGGCTCTAAGATATGTGAGCACGTTGTAGAAACGAATCATATTGTTGATTGGGGTTCGTCTGCAATTCTATACAAGGAGTCTGATTGGAGGAAACGAAATACGGCAGAGTCGCTTTTCATGGCAATAGAAGACGAGCCACTCTCACGACCATCGGTGGATGTCAGTACGGTGTACTTAAACATTGTTAAAAACGAACTAGAACAACTACGAGATAAGGCCAGGAGCGTGAATGGCTTATCAACAATGGACAATGCACCTACCCCCGCCCCCGCCCGTCCTCCTCCAAGCTCAGCTGATCCGGCAGTCGTGGTTAGGCGTTCGACCCGCGTGCGGGCTAAAAATAGTTTTTTAATACCCTGAAGAAGCGGAACGTTGTTTTGAGTTCCGCGAAACGTCGGACCTGGACCTTGATGCCGTGGACGATTTTGTGTTGTATATATGTGTGTTTATGTGTTTTGACGAGTCCCGGACATCACAAACAAAAATAAAGGTGAGTGAAGCCCACAAAAATCTACATCAATAATAACACCTCGCCTAAAAGCATGTCGTTCAAACACAAAAAACCCATCTCAAAATCCTCCCTGTAACAGCAAACCTAAGTACTCACTAAAATTAATGTTAATTAAATAGGAAATAAATCTGACAATTTTTAGGGAATATTTTAGTAGAAATCCAGCCAGGTAAATAGAAATTCGCTTAGTCTGCAGGTTTGCTGCGGCGAGGCTATTTTGTTTACTTATCTTACTTATTTTTCATAGTTTGTTACTATACGTTATGCTACAAAATGTTGGGATAAATAATTACAAGCTAAAGCTTCTAAAAAAAACTAAATGTATAAAACTACATATTTTAAATAATTATTTAACGACCCAAACTTGAATGAATGAACCATTTCATTTTCGATTCAAGTTAACAGATTACTTCACAATTACCAGCAAACTTGTGACAGATGCCAACCAAAATTTAAACTTATTGCACATTATTTAAGAGTTTTTTTTTTTTTTGTCGTATGGATCCTTATTTTCATTTAAAAAAATTAAAAATCTTATTGAAAGTAGAAATTAGTTTACCCATTTATAAAAAATGTTAAATGTTCAATTAAGTATTATTATGATTCATACTTAAAACATCAATTCCTCAGAACAATAATCATGATTAATCATCTAGATCTAGTTCAAAAAGGCAAAGAACATTTTACGGTGATTCTTTTTCATTAGGCTAGTTATTAAAAAAGTATATTAAAACACTACTTACCTGGTACGTGAATTTGAGCCTGTATATTTCTTTCTTCTGTTTGATTTCTTTCTTTGTAAGTAGCCCATTCATTGTTACTTTTGTTTACCACTGTTCGTAAGACAGTTTCTTCTACTTTTACTTTATCTCCCTTTGGAACTATCTTGTCCAATGTAATTTGAGATATGTAATTATTTGAAACTTTTCTGTCATCTACCTTATCATCTTTCTGTGTAACTGTTTCTAAACTGGTAGCTTCTTGATCATTTTCAATCGCATCTTTGTGTTCTGCGTAGAAGTTTGGCAAATAAACTGTAGAACTCGAGTTTTGGATTTCGGGGGATTCACTTTTAAAGGAAGCTTCAGCACCACTCATTATTGAAGTCATACTAGTATTTGCTTTCACCCAATTCCCAGCATCATAAACTAGATTTGGTGTCCAGTGGATGTAGCTTGTTGCCGTTTTAGCACTTTCTGTTGATGTCGTTCTTTCTCTTTTTGAATCATCTGTCAATTTTGATCCACCAACACCATCAAATGCTTTATCTTTTTTAAATTCAGTATTTATTCTCTGAGGAATTATTTCCCCATCAAGTGAGTGGCTAGAATACTCTGTTTCTACTGGCGGACTCAATAATTTATCATCCACAAATATCGAAAGGCAATCTTCATCAGACTCATCAGCATCTTCAGCAGCTGGAAACGATTCACGATTCCTTAATATTTGTGAGTCAATACTTTGGATTTCTTTTACTTCTGTAATGCGAGGTTCTTTAGTCAATTCTACATCACTTAGGTTCTTTGTACTTGCTGGCAATGATTTGTTAAAATCTTGCACAGGACAAGGGTTTTGTTTTACCATTTGTAATAGTTCTGGAGTGGGTAAAGAATTACAGTTCTCATTTTTCTTTAAGATTTTTCTGGGAGATTGGACTTCTTTTTCTGTAGTTATGACATGTTTATGAACCATAGCTTTTTCATCACTTAGTTTTTGTATACTCACTGAAGATGACTTCCTGAATTTTTGCATAGGAATAGATTTTAGATTTACCCTTTGTAATAGTTCTGGAGTAGGTAAAGAATTACAGTTCTCATTTTTCTTCAAGATTTTTCTGGGAGATTGTACTTCATTTTCTGTGGTTATGACATGTTTATGAACCATAGCCTTTTCATCACTTAGTTTTTGCATACTCGCTGAAGATGACTTCTTGAATCTTTGCATAGGACTAGGGTTTGGATTTACCCTTGGTAATAGTTCTGGAGTAGATAAAGGATAACTGTTTAGATTGTTCTGTTTGGCTTTTCTGGGGGCTTGGACTTCTTTGTCTATAATGACAGGTTGTTTATGAACCATGGCTTTTTCATCAATTAGTCTTTGTATACTTGCTGAAGATGACTTCTTGAATCTTTGCATAGGAATAGGGTTTGGATTTACCTTTGGCAATAGTTCTGGAGTAGGTAAAGAGTAACTGTATAGATTGTTATCTTCAGCTTTTCTGGGAGATTGGACTTCTTTGTCGATAATGACATGTTGTTTATGAACCATAGATCTTACATCTCTTTCTTCCTTTCTACTTGCTGGCGTTGACTTTGTGAATCTTTGGACAGAACAAGGGTTCAGCTTTACCCTTTGCAATAGTTCTGGAGTAGGTAAAGAATTACGGTTCCCATTTTTCTCTAAGACTATTTTGGGAGATGAGACTTCTTTTTCTGCATTTATAACATGTTTTTTATGAACCTTTGATTTTAAATCACTTAAATTCGTCCTACTTGCTGACGCCGACTTGCCGAATTTTGGCACAGGACTAAAGTCTAGATTTATTCTTTGTAATAGTTCTAGCCTTTGTAAAGAATTGCTGTTCAAATTGTTCACAGTGGCATTTCCAGGGGACTGGACTATTACTGGTATGTCATGTTGTTTCAGGACAATAGCTTTTGCATCACTTGGTGAAATAGACTTGTCTACACTTTGTACAGGAAACACGTCCAGACTTACCCTAGACTTTGCCTCTCGAGTAGATAGAGAGTTCGATTTCTTGATTTCCTGTAACAATTTTTCAGAGGGTTTGACTTCCTTTTCTGCTTCTATGTTATGCTGTTTACGAACAATATCTTTAGCAGAACTTGGTTTGTCCTTACTTGTTGACAATGACTTGGCCAAACTTTGCACAGGACAAGAGTTCAGATCTTCCCTTTGTAATCTTTCTGAAGCCTGTGGAGTGTTGGGATTCTTGAATTCCTGTAACAATTTTCCAGAAGATTGGACTTCCTTTCCTGCTGTTATGTTATGTTGTTTATAAACAATTGCTTTTGCATCACTTGGTTGATTGTTACTTGCTCTCAATTTCCTAACATTACTTTGCACAGGACACTTGTTCAGATTTACTTTTTGTATAGCTTCTGGAGTTATTAAAGAATTACTATTCTGATATTCCTGTAATACTTTTTCAGGAGTTTGGACTGCTTTTACTGTTATTTTACGTTGCTTCTGATCAATAACTTTTGCATCATTTTGGTCCTTCTTTATTGTTGATATTGAGCTGTTGAAACGCAGCTTAGGACAAGGATTCATAATTACCATTTGCAATGATTTTATTACATTGCTTGATCCTTTTTTTAATATTTTACTTGCCTTTTTATGCTTTTTACAAACCTTTCCCATCTGTTTAGTGAGAAAATGCTTTTTTTGAGAATTTGTTATTCTATTTATTCTTTTTACATCCATACGTGAACTTATTAACGTATTGTTCATTTTAAGAATATTTAAAGAAAGGATTGATCTTTTTTTACTGTCTCTTTGATATTTCCTGGATTTGTACAAATCATGCCAGTTGCTTTGATAGCAAAGACTTTTGATTGTCACATCTGATTTCATGATTAGTTGTTCTTCCCTAAAACATGTTTTAATCATAATATCTGGCTTGTAATTAATATCTTTGTTGGGTTCCTCTGCAAAAGACTGAACAGATTTTGTAAACAAAGGATCTTCAGTCTCATCTGTTAGTGATGTTTCAGAAATTTTGAGTAAGCCAGCAGTAATACTATTGGACTCAAGTTCGTCAAGTCTATTTTCATTCTTCTTGTTTTCAAGTGTATAGCACCTTAACTTTGCTGGCTGTTTCTCCTTCGTATTAATTTCAATCTTGTTTACCAAGTTTTCTTGTTGTTTTAATAGTTCCATTCTATTTTGTGGAGACATTTTTAATTTTGTTGCCAGAAGTTCTACATCCTCTTTACGCACATTGATCTCGTTTTCCGATATGTTATTTTTAATGGGTCTTATTTTACGAGTGATGTCTACTAAAGCTGTAGATTGCTCAGGTCTGTGAGATTCTTTAACACCTGATGACTTTCTCTTTTTGTTTGGGTTTCTTACAACATTTTCAGCTCCCACACAAGTTGATGAAGTGCAATGTTCACACACTTGCTGTGAGGTTAAGGACCTCATGTTATAATGTTTCATTGCTTCGGGTGATCTGGGAGAAAATAGATGATTAGTATATGTTGGTGAGTGCGGAATAGTTTTCTTTGTAGAACTGTGTGAATCCTTTGTTTTAGTTGTTTTTGACTTTGAAACCGTTTGTGATTTAGTTGTTTTTGAATTTCTTCTTTTGGTAGATTCTGAAGTTTTGATTGTGCAAGATTTAGCTTTGGCTTTACTAGAGCTTACATCGTAATATTGTAAACATGGTTTCATTTTCGGGGACAAACGCAATTCATAACGGGCTAGTGAAGTTGGTGACCGCTGAGGTGATCTAGCTTCAGTATCATATGATTGAAAGGAAGTAAAAAGGCTATTTTGAGAAAGCAGAGCTTGAACTTCTCTTGGGACTTTCTTTGGCTTAACTATATTTTTGGGAGATGAGAGGAGCAAATCAACATTTTTACTAACTTCAGTAATCGTATCAGGAGTGTTAGGAGTCAATTTGGACATTTGTTTGTCAACAAATTTCAAGCCTTGACTGGTTTGGTTAAGACATGGGCTTTTTTCATTTTTCTCTGAAATGTGATTGATATCCTCTAAAACGACGTAACATTCTTTTTTGACTGCTTCAATCTCACTTGCAGTGTGGCTGTCACTACTAGGCTTTCTCTCTTTTTTAATTACACTTGGTTTGGGAGCTGCTTCAATCTCACTTGCAGTGTGGCTGTCACTACTAGGCTTTCTCTCTTTTTTAATTACACTTGGTTTAGGAGCTGCCTCAATCTCACTTGCAGTGTGGCTGTCACGACCAGGCTTTCTCTCTTTTCTAATTACACTTGGTTTAGGAGCTGCCTCAATCTCACTTGCAGTGTGGCTGTCACTACCAGGCTTTCTCTCTTTTATAATTACACTTGGTTTAGGAGTTGCCTCAATCTCACTTGCAGTGTGGCTGTCACTACCAGGCCTTCTCTCTTTTTTAATTACACTTGGTTTAGGAGCTGTCTCAATCTCACTTGCAGTGTGGCTGTCACTACCAGGCCTTCTCTCTTTTTTAATTACACTTGGTTTAGGAGCTGCCTCAATCTCACTTGCAGTGTGGCTGTCACTACCAGGCTTTTTCTCTTTTTTAATTACACTTGGTTTAGGAGATTTATTCTCTTCTCCGCAACTATTTTTTGGTTTCACCTCAATGAAAGTTTCAACAGGCTCAGGGCTTAAATCGACAAGGTCTTTTCTAAGATCACATAAGACTGGGAATTCACTTAAGTTGCTACTGTGTGTTGGTGAAAATAAAGTTTTGCGTCGCTTTGGATAATCAGTCTGTAAGTTCAACTCTATAGGTCTTTTATCACACTTTACTTTAAGAGGCCTTATCGGACTAAGTATTGATGGAATTTGAGTTACCTCACTAAGAATATCTATGATTTCTAAATATTCTGGAGACTGAATCTTGTTATTAATTACTTGGTCATTGCTACTGGCTTGTGTGCTTTCCTCTAAACCTATTTCGTCTGACTTTACACTCAATTTAGTTTTATTATTTAAAGCACCAATTTCAGGGCTCACCATACTATGTGCCTTCTGGGTCCCAGGCATCTTAACAGGGCTTGGTGATGAAATGGGATGGTCTTCATCACACATTTCCTCATCGACTGGCAAAACTGGTTTTTTAAAAGATTGTAATGCTTTAATGCCATAGGAGTCCGTTTTCTCTGAGCTATCATATACTTTTTCCTCTGTAGAGTTCTTTCGCTTATTAAACAGAATCGTTTGGTCCAATTCCACGCTGCATTTGGTTTTACTATCAACAGTTTCACCTCTTGAGCTAACCCTACTGACTTGCTTCTGGGTTTCAAAAATCTCAACAGGTCTTGGTGATAAAACAGAAATGTCTTCATCAGACATTGTCACTTCTTTAGTGTTGACTCTGAGAACAACTGGATTCATGGGTGATGATGGTGATACTTTTATGTCACCAGTTTCGATACTATTTGATGCATTTTCTTTTGGAGAGTTCTTATGCATTGTGATCAAAACCATTTTGGTTTTTGAATTTATATGGGGTTTTTTATTTAGGGCAGGTTCATGTACGACTGCTTTAGTCTCAATATTTTCTTCAACAGCAATTGTAGACGGCATATTTTGAAAACTTGTACTGCAATCGTCAACTCTATTAATGTCTTCAGAGGATACTTGTACCGAACATAGCATTGTCTGAGGACAGTTAGCTGTTTGACTATTCTGTTTAAGTTTTGAAGATTCCTCATCTTCGAATTCATTATTTTGGTACATGTCTTGATCTGGGGTTGATGGTGTGGGAGGTAAGTTCATGTCACCTGCAAGGAAAACATACAGTTAAGACAATAAAATTAAACATAAAATTAACAGTGAAAGTAAGTTTTTAAAGGGACATTTAAAAAAAACACTGGGAAGTAGTTGTTATGATACAAGCATGATTAGTTCCCTTTGTCGGCAAGCCTCGCACAGGATTTCATGTGAGGACCGTAAACACCTACCCAGGTGAGTCATGTGCGATATTTTCCACCACACAACAAGCAACAAATTAACAGGATAAGTAAAACACAACTCAAAATACAATCACAATACAGTTTGATAACAGTACCTACACTATTGAAAATTAGGTAATTAGTGATGTAGCCTACTAAGCAAACACTTTTAACATTAGAAAAGGTTCCCGTGAACAACTGTTGCGATCACGGCAACATAACTTTAATTTCCCGCGGTGGAGGGAAAATTGGCTTTCGTCTGGTCTTCCTAATTTGGGACAGTTCCCGGTTTTCTCGCTGTCCTGATCAGTTGAACATTCTGATACAGTAAAACCTCACTAACTTGACTATTTGTGGACTCAGAGTTTGTCGAGTTATCCAGAACACCAATGAATAGATTCATAAAAGACTACTTTTTACAAATAAATTTATTACTAACATGAGTATTTTTACATATTGAGTAAACAATCATCAAAGACATGCTGAACATTAAATGTTGAATTTAAATTCAAACTAAATATTCTTTAAAAATTTTCCTATTTTTGTAGGCGCCCTGTCAGCTGGTGACTGTCGAGTAAGTGAGGTTCTATTGTAATAATAAGTTTATTTAATTTACAATTACAAACTACAATGAACTAAATTTGAAAACAAAGTAGTAAAATAAATAGAAAAAACAAGTTTTTTACAAAGTTCTTTCTTTGGCTCGTCTTTGGATTTGTTCATATGTCGATATTGTAGCACAACGGATTGAGTTATCAAATAATTAAATAACTTACGTCATCAATCCATAAATTTCTGTGGAGTACGCGTTTCAACCATCAGGTAATCCTCAGCTCCACTGTCACTAGGTTGAATCTGTTTCTATGTTGCTTTGTAGCAACAGCGTCGATGTATTAAATAAATAGTCCAAACACATTTTACATTTATCACACATACACGACGACACGTACGAAACATTTAGGTAACGAAATACTATGATATAACACCGTGCGCACGGCTGGACGGGCTCAGGTTTGCGGCTACACTCCGCAAATCAAAGGTTGTGTAGCCGCAAACCTGAGCCCGTCCAGCCGTGCGCACGGTGTTATATCATAGTATTTCGTTACCTAAATGTTTCGTACGTGTCGTCGTGTATGTGTCATAAATGTAAAATGTGTTTGGACTATTTATTTAATACATCGACGCTGTTGCTACAAAGCAACATAGAAACAGATTCAACCTAGTGACAGTGGAGCTGAGGATGACCTGATGGTTGAAATGCGTACTCCACAGAAATTTATGGATTGACGACGTAAGTTATTTAATTAGTTGGATTTGTTTATAAAGAAGAATAGCCAAAGTGCTAGTCCCTATAAGAAATTTCCAAATTATACCTTTGGAATTACCTTTTAAATTATTATTACTAGTGGTTGAAAACTCGGCCAAAACCATGTAATGTACACGTATTGACTATTGGATACTGAAGTAGGCATCCCATTTATATGGACCAGATGCTGTGTCATTTTTTTTATTAAAAAAACATTTAGTTGTGTGAGCCAGTCGCGGAATGTGTGTCTTAAATTATATTTTCTACCTTATTTTTTGTTGCTGACAAAGTTGATGGGTCATAACAGTTGATATAGCTAATAAACATGTGATTGTAATTCCTTCCATTTGTTTGGATTTTCTGTTTATATTTCGTTGTTATTTCGTCACCAGCATAGCAACCCATAAAGCCCATGTTAATTTTTTTATAATTTCAAATCCATTTTTCGAGCTTATTGTTTAGCCTATTTTAATTGTTAACCCTTTCAGTGCTAGGCCAATAATTCATATTTTGTAAGACTTTTTTGTTTGCCTTTTAATTCCATTACCTGTTGTTGAATTTTAACTGTCATGTTGTCACTATTTTATTAATTAGGCTAATTTTGAATAATGACACAATAAGAAAATATATAAGAAAGATAAATCCCGGTATTTGTAGTAAACATTAAATAAAACTTAGTTTTTGTTGTAATTTTCCTGGTTTTCCTATAAATTTTTATGTTCTGATAGCATTATTTGAAACCGAAATCTCATAAAATCAAAAGACATATAGTTTACAATGTAATATTGAATTTAACCCTGATTTAGTTGGACGAGGTTATCGTAATATAGCCATTTTAGGGAAACTAATGTTTTGCAGCAAAGTCTCAGGAACACATTTACTACTACTAAAACTAAAAGATTGCATCTAAATAGTCCGTGACTAACTGGTGCTGCTACCTAGTAACGCATTGAACAACAATCTGCAGCGCCATCTGTTCGCAATCGGTGGCGACAGCTTAAATACAGGTTTTTGACTCCCCAGTCTTCAAGCACAGATAGCCGAGAAGGCTAGGGCGTGTGTCACTTGGCCAGTGGCATTCGTCTGCTCGGGTTCGAATCCCGTCCTGTGTGGCAAATAATTGGTGACCTGTGTGTTTGTAGCGATATACTACAACCACTGTGGCATAGTGAGGTGTTCATAATCCTTGGTTTAGACATACACCTCGAAATCATCGGATTGGGCGAATCTTTTAGCTAAGTGGTTGGTAGTGTATCCTATGAACATACAGGTCACCAATGGCCGTTTTGCTATTTTTTTTTAAATAACCTTCCTCTCTATATCCCTTAGGGTTTTTTTAAAACAACGATATATCATTTCATAGCACTGAAAGGGTTAAAGGGATTTTGCACATCTACAGGAAAATATCTTTCTAACAGTATACGCACATTTTCCCTGTGATGCACACGAGCTGAGAAAAAAGGTTTTAAAGAAACATGCTTGCCTATTAATATATAGATTATAGAATAACCAATAAAAGTGTAAAACTACTATTTTTTACACATAAACTTTTAACTATATTTTAACCCTCCGAGTGTCCCTTGTTTTGGCCTTAATGTCTGCCTATTATTTGCTCATTTGCAAGGTTTTATTAAAACGGATCTGAGAAGCTTGAAAACAATGTTAATTATACTGTTCTATATACCATTTTGTTTGGAAAATCATGGGCTTCAATATTATACATAAAACATAAGGAAAATTTTTTTCAAAAAAATTTTTAAGGTAAAAAAAAATATTTTGGAAAATTTTCAAAAAAAAAAATTAGTTTGCGCTCAATGAAATTGTATAAATTATAGGCCTATAAATATTTGAAAATGGCTACTTTGTTCTAAATTTTATGAGGATTACAAATATATAATAATATAAGGAAGTAGATTTGCAAATAAATAAGTTATGGGCAAAAAACTGATTTCAGTACATAGCGTTTAGCTAAGAATCCATAGCCTAACCATAGCTAGGAATCTGGCTGATAATTTACATCAATATCACTACCTACTTCTTCAGGATCATCAACCAGCCCTTCAAAATCACTTAAATCTTCTTATAATGCACCACGTATATCACTACTTTTGATTTTTAACACTAAAACAATGATAAACGTAATAAAACACATCAGAAATCGGTACGAGGTTAACCAAGCTGTTTACAAATAAGCACGTCAGCTGTCTGCTACAATATTTTCGGAACTAAAATGAAAAGCGCTTAGAGACAGACCTCCGGAGAAAGCTCTGAATCTGACAAATAAAACGATACCTAACTCGATCCAGTTTAATCCGATTTTTTTCAGTCATAGAGGCTTCGCCGTAAACAGTGTTTGTGAGTCGATGCATCGACACAAAACACTACACAAGGTGTGTTATGTGTCGAAGCATCGACAAATAACACTCAAAGGGTTAAATCCAAAACTTTTCTAAAATCTTAAAATATCTACAAATATTTGGGTTAAGCATACACTAATAATAACACAATAACAAAATAAATGTCCAGAATCATTCAAACTATCCATTCAAATGTTTAACTGATATCCAAATTTCTGTTGATATATTTAATAGCTATTCATAAAATTCTTTTAGAGCCAAAAAGTAGAATAAATGTTTTAAGACCTCAATACTCAAACTGACCATATTTCTTTGAATAATAATATACAAAGTGTAACAGGTGTATCACAGATTAGGAAGAAAATGCTACTTGCCTGTTGGTGACAATAGCTCTTTCTTAATACGTTTCACTCCCCTTTTTTTATAGTCCTCGTTTTTCTGTGTTAGCTTTTTTATCATCTCTGACTGTTGGTTTTGCAAAAAAGAGTCATTCACTATTTGATTTTCCAATTGTAGTATTTTTTCTTCCAAAAGAGTTTTCTGTTCTAGAAAGGATGTTTGGCAGTTTTGGCATGCCTGAAAAAAATAATTACAAATGATAATAATTACAAAAATTATAAATAAAATAAAGGACACGATAGTATTTTAGCTGATTAAAAGAATGTCCCTACAAGTTTCTGGTTATTGTTGTATATCAAGTATGTGTATACAATTATAGTAGGCCTATACAATTAATGTTCATTTTTTATAAAATTAAAGGTCAATGTCAAAGTCATCTTTACTGTCACATAACATTTTTTTAATTGCTCTAGCACAGCCAGACAAAACAGGCGACATTGTCAAACCATACTAAAATAAACTAGCTTATTGGTAAAAATAAATACATAGTAACAAAACAAACAATTCACAATGATTTGTCTTCAAGAAACTGATCTATACTATAATAATTCTTTTCCAACAAAAAATCTACAATTTTTTTAAAGATAGGATGATTTTTAAAGATAAGATTTTAAAGATACCTACTAATCCTATTATTAATTTGTAGTACCCAAGCAAATTGTTAAAAAATCTTTTACCTATATAAGAAGGTGTCCTTTCCACAAGATTCAATCTGTGTAAAGGATATTGAAAATCTGTATGAAACCTAGTGTTATAATTGTGCCAACTATTTTCACTGTGGAGTTTTTCAAAATTTGATTTCACATGCAATAAACATTTAAGAATATAGAAATTAGGGACGGTTAAAATTTTTAATTCTTTAAAAAGTTGTTTGCTAGAACATTTTACGCAATACGGGTTTAAAAGTCATAATTCTAAGTATTCTTTTTTGAAGTTTAAAAAGTTGATACGGAAAATGGATGAAATATATTTTTTTTCAGGCAGTAGTAGGGCTACAAGGCCTTTATTTTTAAAGACATGTTTTTAGGCGAGGTTTATTATATTGATCAGCTTGTGGGCTTCACTCACCTTAATTTGTTAATCCAGGACTCGTTAAAATGTAACACAACGAAGACACAATCACACTACATACACACACATAAAAAATCATCCTTTACGACGTTTTGGGGGACATTTTTGGTCCTGCGTAACGTCGAAGTAAATCCAAGGACGATTTTTAATGTGCGTGTATGTTGTGTGATAGTGTCTTCCTTGTGTTACATTTTGACGAGTCCTAGATTAACAAATTAAGGTGAGTGAAGCCCACAAGCTGATCAATAAGGCCTTTTCTTACAATTAACCTGATATGTCAATCAAGTATTATAAATCAACACAAATACATAACAGATCTCCCAGTACACAGTGTATTAAGTGCTCTTTTCATCATTCAAGTCATCTGACATTAAAAATTCCTTGACCGAGACTTTATTTCCTTCGGAAGTCGCAAATTATGTTAGTCATAACTCACCTCACATGTCGTTTGTAAAGACTGTTTCAAAAACATCAAATCTGCGGCATTGTCATCTAAACTACCCTTCACTGCTTGTAGTTCCTCGGATAGTGTCATTGTAGCCTTCCAGCTGTTATAGTCAACACTGGAAAAATCAAACATCACCAACATGTAGTAAAATCCTGATCCTCTTAACCCCTTAACCGCCATCTAAGTAGCCTAGTCAAAATCCGCCATTGCCACTTACTTTGCCGTTTTTTGACGATTTTTACTTGTGATTTAAAAAATTGTACCAGTTGTTTTTTTAAAGAAAATAGTTATCAATATTGTTTGTAGACATCTTCAAAAACATTAAGCTTTAACAATTTTTTAATTTGAGATTGGGGGGGGGTGGGGTTCGGGGGTTTCTTGAGTTAGGCCTATGATAAAAATTAGGCCTACAATAAAGTCTACAACTCTAATAAATCGTCATCCTCAAGCATGTCACCAGCCATTACGACTAATATTTACTACTGATTCAACACTACCAAGTAAATAACCACCAAAAATCACAATTATAATGACACGCATAATGTACGTAAGCATTACGTAAGCTTCCGCAAGCACAAGTTTTACTGAAACTACGAACAGAACTGATCGGGACCATTACTGACCTATAATACCACTAAAATCCACCAGATTGCAGCACTAGTCAAGCAGCACTGTCAACAACTTGTTTACGTACGTATATCAGAGATAAGGCGGGAAGTGAGCTGTTAAAAATAAAACACAACAGCTGATTACGTCAACACGAGATAACTCGTACGTGGCGGTTGCTCTGAAAACTAGTATCGCCCGGCATATCTCGTGCGTGGCGGTTAAGGGGTTAATAGCTATTTCCAAACTAGTGCCCTTTCTATTTTTAACTTTCAATTCAACATGCATCAACAAAAGCGGCATTGCAAGCGCTTTGAGGCATACCTTATAGCTGTCACACTCACGCCTCACTTTCCTAGTTGGGTTAAGACGACGCTATTCTGATAGGAGGAATTGGTGCGGTATATTTAGCGTTATTGAAAATTTCACAAAAGTAAGAAATCAAGGTGTACAATGTGGAAAAAGGAGTACTAATACAACTCACAATTTGTCTTATTTATTTATTTTATTTTAAGGAGTGATAAATTTTCTCTGGACGATTTTTCAAATATATAAAGCAGTTGTAAGTTAAAACGCACAGAAATAAAAGGCTGGTGGATCATCTTGCGCTTTGGAATGGAGCTCTTTTGGAATAATTTCGGGCATGCCATGACGCATGCGTTACTTGCGTCCATCTGCGTCAAGGCATACGCTTGGCGTACACAAAAACGCACGAGTGTGCACATAGTTATTCAGGGTCAAAAAGCCAACAAGGGATCAAACCGATGGTATTTTTGTAGAGTTAAATTCTTGGTCAATGGGGTGATTTGGGTAATATCATCATAGTCAAATAAAAACATTTAACTTATATGTATAGTGTAGTTATAAATGCAACAAATAAGTGTGTTGCAGTAAACAAGATAAGTTAACAGTACATATATGAAGTATAATCTTTAATTCCAATAAATGAATCAAAGCTGCACTAAGTCTGCTAACAGACAAAACTATCTACGCTTCAAATAAAGTATGCCTAAATTAAAATTACTAAGAAAACTGTCAAATACTAACAAGTTAACTGATTTCCAACTTCCAATAGCCATTCTGTTGTTTTTGAGAGTCCCCCATATTTGGATTTGAAAAAGAATCTAAAGGCAATCAATTTCGTTTATTACCAACTTCAATAAAACTGTAGACCCTCAAAATAAGGTGATCAAAATTGGACAACAGCCATACATTACAGTTTTTGATTACGTGGTCTTTATAAGAATTTAATGTTAAGATCAAACTCAAATGAATAATATATATGTTTAATATGATCATATGAACTTTTATTTTAATCTTAGTCCACTACACCATATAACATAGGTTACTTACATTTGCATGTTTGCTTTCAAAAATTCTGCAATAACCTGTGCTCTTTCTTTTGCACTATTACACCATTTGTTTTGTTCCTTTGTCATGTTGTCTAGTTCAGAAGTTAATAAGTTTTTCTCTTCTTCTAAGTTGTTAATTTTCAAGTTTGCTTCTTGAAGACTGGTGCAGAACGCATTGTGTCTTAAGCACTTTGCATTTAAGGATTCCAGTTCTTTCAGTTTCTTCTGGATTGCGTTGTCTTTTTCTCTTAAAATACGGTTCTTTTGTCTCAAAATACTGTCCTTTTGTTTTACAGTTTTTTGTAATCGTTTTTTTGTTTCATCAATGTCATATTTTAACTTTTCCTTCATATAACAGTAGTCGGAGAGTTTGAGAACACGACATCCTATTTGCGCATTTGTTTTATCAATCTCATCTCTAAGTCTCATATTCTCTTTTTCTAGAGCGAGGTATTGCATTTTCATTTCACAATCCTTATATTTGCAGTGCGAGCAGCACCCTCTCGGAATCTACAAACAAAGTCAATTCATTGAAATACAAATTCAGGTAAACAATTATTAATTGACACTGCTTTATAAAACAAACAGTAAGAACAGTATCCCTCCACCAAGCTGAATCCACTTTTTATAAAAGTGGCTTTAACCAGCCCACACAACAAGGGAGTGAAGGTATGCTTTAATGAACAGTGAATGTGTGTTGATTATGGATTAGAGCCAGTGCTAAAATCAACACAGCAATGGCATACCTAATAAGCTAATAAGCTACAGCGGGGTATGGACAAGGACTTAATTAATATTAAATCTAACATATTCAATATTAAATGGAAAATTCACTAAAAGAACAAAACAAATAAATATGAACTGTTAACAAATAGTTTTGGAGAATATATGATTGAGAACAGATTAAAGACAAAAAAATCAGCAAAAAAAAAATTAAAATTCAGCTGAGTTGAATAACTTTTTTTACTATCTTAAATTTAAATAAACGGTATCAGCATTCTGACACATACTTTCTCCCATAAGCTTGCCAACAACCTTTATCGTAAGTAAGCGGTGAGAGTAAATATACGGAAATGGGATTTGTACAATTTTCTTCAGAATTTAAAGGACTATAACATACTAAATTTTTATCAAAATCGTTCGAGCCAATTTTGGAAAAATCTGATTTTCCGTTATTTTATGGGGTTTTATGGGAAAATAACATAATTTACAATAACTTTTGAATCGTAATTTTTACAGAAATGGGATTTGTAAAATTTTCTTCAGAATATAAAGGACTATAATATACTAAATTTTTATAAAAATTGTTCAGGCCATTTTTGGGAAAATCCTATTTTTCCGTTATTTGGGGTTTTATGGGAAAATCCCCATTAAAATAAAAATTTCTAAAAAATGAAAAACTATCACAATTGTAAGGACCATAACATAACATACAGTGTTAAATCAAAACCGGATTTTTGTCTAAAATCCTATTTTTTCGTTATTTTATGCGGTTTTTATGGGAAAATAACATAATTTACCATAACTTTTGAACCGTAATTTTTACAGAAATGGAATTTGTACCATTTTGTTCAGAATTTAAAGGGCTACAACATACTAAATTTTTATCAAAATCGTTCGGGCCATTTTTGAGAAAATCCGATTTTTCCGGTTTTTTATGGGTTTTTATGGGAAAATCCCCATTAAAAGTCAAAATTTCAAAAAAATGAAAAAAACGCCTGGAGATACTATGGATTAGAACCTACATACCAAATTTCATCGAAATCGGACCACAGGTGTAGTCTCTAGCTCTGTACACATCCAGACACACAGACACACACACACACACACACACACACACACACACAGACATCACTTCGAAAACCACTTTTTTGGGTCCAGGGGGACCCAAAACGAATATATCCACTCAAAACTCAAACTCGAAAATTTTGACGAAAACAATACTTTCTCCATATACTATGGTATAGGGGGAGAAAGTAACCAGAGGGGAACTTTGTTTACTTTACCAACTGGTGAGCCAATTCAGAATTTCTTAAGACCAGTTGGTTGCTTTTAGGGTTTTGATTTGGGTTTACTTTGTGAAGGGCTTTAAGGGTATAGCAGCCTTCAAAATTTTGGTTGTTATATAGGCTATTGTTAAATAACATGGAAATTTTAAATGAACAATTTTTTTATTTTCTCTGTAACTGTTGTGTTCGTGGGTTGAGTTGGACTTAGGAAGTGGACTACTGAAATAAATAAATACGATAGTTTTACATGTTTAACACACGGCTACAAACGGGTGGTTAAAGTTTGAGTTTTGGAGGTAGACTGGCTGTTGAAGGGACGGACGTACATGGACGGTGGTGTGATGTAGGTGGAGAGGGGATCAAATGATGTTTGTAGCCAATGAGATTTATTGAAAATCATACGATCACAGTGGCGTGATGTACAAGGAAATCATAGTTACAACGGATATTAATATTCTTAAGATATATTACAATTTCCTCCCTTTTAAATTTGAACAAAACACTGCAAAAAAATGTGAACTTTGAATATATAGTCCATTGGTGGTAGAGTGATATTTCTTGACGCTTAACCTAATCAACAATCAGAAAAAGTATAATAATCATTAAGTATAACATAGTATTAAACATCAAGAATCATGGTAAACATAAAAAACACACACAAATACAAATCGGTAAAACAATCATAAGTCTAATCTATTTACAGGTTTCCTAACGCGTTCAGGATTGCGTCGTGGTTGACTTTGACAGGTGTTATTACTATTACTACTATCACTACTACGCACAGCTGATTTTACGCACGCGGATACGGGCATAGTACTATGTGCGGGGGAAGGGGGGAGTGACTTCCTGGCTGGTGGTGTAGTGCTGGAGAAGCGGGGAGTGACCTCCTACCATTCGCTGGGGTGGTTGCCATGCCAACCGGCTTGCTGACTACGTCCTTGGCGGGGGAAGAAGTACAATGCCTCTGGTATTGCGGCGTTGCCAACTCTGGGTCTGAGCTAGCGGATGTAGGGGTTGCCACGTTTCTATGTACAATATTTTCAGCAAAACCCGTATCTCTGTGCAGCGGACTGTTATTTAAACCGATCAGCTGATCAATGTGACGCTTAGTAACAATGCCTGAACTTAACTCTATTTCATACATAACAGGACTGATTTGCTTGTGTACAGTACCCTGTAACCATTTGTTGTTTGACCTGTAATCTCTCATCAAACAGTTTGACCTGGATAAACTATCCTAGTACTCTTTGACTTAAAACTATTTTTACATTCTTCTTGTTTCTTATTTACAAAATGTGTTACGTTTGGTCTCAATAGATCCAAACGGGTGCGCAGTTTTCTGCCAAACATCAGTTTACTGGGTGTTTCATTGGTAGTTGAGTGAACAGAGTTTCGATAATCGAATAGTATTCTACTCAAGGCTACGTCAACATTTACATTGTCATAAAAGCGCGCTTTATTTTGTCTTTAGCAAACTTAACGCTGTTTTCAGCTTGCCCATTACTTTGAGGATGGTAAACAGGACTGAAAGTATGTCTGATACCGTTCATTTCCATGAAATGTTTGAATTCAGCTGACGTAAATGGTGGTCCATTGTCAGAGTGTAGATTAACAGGTAATCCAAACCTACTGAATAAATCTCTTAAAAACTGTATAGCTAGTTTTGCGGAAGTTGAACTAACTTCACCTACTTCCAACCATTTTGAGTGAGCGTCAATAACGATCAAATACATTTTATTTTTGAAAGGCCCTAGGTAGTCAACATGAATGCGTTCCCAAGGAGCGATTGGGTAGTGCCAAACGTGTAATTGGCTTTTGGACGGATTGTTCCGTTCCCGAAGACAGGAAGAACAGCTGTTAGCTATGTTGGTGATGTGTTCATCAATACGCGGCCACCAGACATAGGATCGAGCAACCGACTTCATTTTCACGATGCCTAAATGGCTAGAGTGAAGCTCTTTAAGTACATAGTCCCTTAAAGTTACTGGTACGACTACTTTATAACCCCACAAAATAATCCCAAATTCAACTGTCAGTTCGTTCTGTCTTTGGAAATACGGAGCAAGTTCTTCGTTTCCCTCTGGAATGACATTAGGCCATCCGTTTACAATATAACCGGTTATATTTTACTTAAAACTGGGTCTTTCTGTGTTTCTGACTTTACATGTTCAAATGTCAAAGGTAATGAACTCTCCTGTAAACAATGTAAATAAGTACCTTGCCACGCAAACTCATCAGTAGCATTGTTGTGATTAACACTCAACGGCAATCTAGATAACATATCTGCGTTGTTTTGATCCGATTTTACATATTGAATGTCAAATTCGTAACCGGACAAGAACAAAGCATATCTTTGCATGCGACCAGCAGCAAAAATAGGCAAACCCTTTTTTGAGCCAAAAATACTTAGAAGTGGTTTGTGATCAGTGTACAAAACAAACTTTCTCCCATACAAATATTGATTGAATTTTTTGACTGCAAAAACAATAGCAAGAGCCTCTTTTTCTATTTGTGAATAGTTTCGCTCAGCTGTTGCTCGAGAGTGTGCGTGACTGATACGCTATCGGTTTCTCTACGCCATCTGGTGAGACAATACTTAACACGGCGCCTAGGCCTACTGAGCTAGCGTCTACGGCCAATTTTAAAGGTAAATTGGTGTCATAGTGAGCCAAAATAGGAGCGTTAGAGAGTAGCTGTTTTACCTTGTCAAAAGCTGCAATACAATTCTTGTCAAAATTGAAGGGTGTGTCCTTTTTGAGCAGGTTGTACATAGGACTTAATACAGTGGAACAATTAGGAATGAACTTCGAATAGTAGTTAATTAGACCTACTAAAGCTTTGACTTCTGTCACTGTTTTAGGAACTGGAGCGTTTTTTATAGCTTCTACCTTAGATTCGGAAGTGTGTAGACCTTGTTTGTCAATACAAAAACCTAAATACTCTACTTTAGGTGCAAAAAATGTACATTTACTCTTCTTAACGGTAAGACCATTTTCTTTAAGACGTTTGCAAACTTCCCTAAGCTTTTGATAGTGTAATTCATCATTTACATCTGTAATCAAAATGTCATCTAGAAAGCAAACTACATTAGGTAAATCTTGTAAACATTGTTCAATTCTGTACTGAAATATGCTAGTTGCGGATGAGATTCCGAACGGCATTCTTTGATAACTAAACAACCCTTTATGCGTACTTATGGTACATAGTTTTTTAGACTCTTCATCTAATTCAAGTTGCATATATGCTTGGCACAGATCTATTTTACTAAATTTTTCACCCTTCTGTAAACTAGTAAACAAATCATCTATTCTAGGGATTGGGTACTTTTCTACCTCTAGACTTGGGTTTAATGTAACCTTAAAATCTCCGCAAATACGGATTCCACCGTCTGGTTTAAGAACTGGAACTATGGGAGTACCCCAATCAGAACTTTTGACTGGGAGAAGTACACCTTCTTCTGTTAACTTCTCAAGCTCTTTTTCTACTTTAGCTTTAAGTGAA